TAATTCTATTTTAATACTTCGTGTTGTTGTCAGTTCCAGTCCTATTCATTCTTATTTATATATTCTCATGATTGTATTTTTGCTATTATATTACATATTAACTCACAGCATATTATATGTTTAAAAAAAAATAGTTGCCATATATTTTCAATTTCACACTACAAAATGATAAAGCGAAGATAAATCAATGAGTACTAGCTACTTCAACGATTTGTAGTTTTATGACTCTTAGAATAAATCTACATAATTATAGACAATAAATTAGTTCGGTGAATTTTTTCAAAGTTGCTGTCTACGGTAATGTACACTTATTCTTAGAATTATAAAATCATCAATCAGTAGAGTCAAATCTTGATCCTACTAGTAAAACCTGAGGCAACCACCAGTATAGCCAACATCTTACCGAACTATTTATCGGTCATTTTTCTTCAGCTTCAGTTACATATCTATTTTATTATAAACCAGGAAACCATTACAACTAGCATCTCCCCATGTAAAAATCGATAAAAATTTAACGATGTTAACGACAAAAGATGTTACTTTTTTGAACGTGAAAACGCGCTAAAAATTTGTTGTTAACGAAACTTCACAAGTTATTTCACGTTAAACTGTTTCTAACGGGAAAACACGCGTGGAGTTTCATTAAAAGTAAATTTTTAACACGTTTTCACGGTCAAAAATGTAACATCTTTTTTCGTTAACATCATTAAATTTTTATCGATTTTTACATGGGTAGGAAATGAACCATCAAGATATTCAATAGAAATTATACAACGATTTAACTCTATCTAAATAGGATTATTTTTTCGAAAAGAAAAACTGTAAACAAGAAAATTACCACGCTAGATGGACAAGAAAGAAAATGAGTCATTATTAATTACGCAACATTGAATGTAGGTCATTACATCAAGCATAAATTATCTGATACACGACTATTTCCGATCGCCCATATGTAATATACGCTACTATTCATAAATAGTTAGTGACAACTAATGTGGCTAACCGTCCTGGAAGCATTAAACAATATTTGATAAATTGTATTACTCGAATAAGTTTTAGATTCCCTAGAACGATATGGCATAGATATTGACATTTTATATAGAAAAAGCATTTATAATGATTCTCATCTTTATTTGTAGAATAAAATAGATAAATTGTTCATGAACTATTAAAAAGAGATAATCGTAAATAGTTATTATGGATAAGTGAATGAACCGATAAGAGTGCTTGAAGTTGCACCACAGTTATACGAATCACTTAAAACTGAAGTAAATGTTCGTGTATAATTGAAGAAAGCACCAGAAGCATGTACAATATGATAGGTAACCGTGAGTGGATCACTACTGCTGATAGTTGGACTGAATGAATACGATTCAAAGCACATGTAGTAAGTTCCTGTGGGTGGTAGAGAACCACTACTTGGCCAATAAATATTTTCCGGTCCTGTACTACTTGTATCATCTCTATCCAATATTCCTTGATCAGTACTTGATGAAGGACCTATATTTTGATAGTTAATGGTTTTCCCATTGGGTGTTGTCACTACAATATCGCCATCACCTGATCGAGACCATACCAAAACACATGCGAGATGTCCTACATTTAGACATATACTTTGTATACATGTCTGTTGTGAATTACATGAAGGTGAACATGAATTAGCTATGAAAATAAGAATTGATATTCATCTAATGAAAAGTTATCCTTAGACTCAACCTACCTGTTATTATTGTCGTCACTGCCGTAGTTGTGTTTGTTGTTTGGGTGCTGCTTATTGATGCAGCTGTAGTTGTTGTTGTGGTAGTGGTTGTTGATACAGTTGTAGCTGTTGTCATGGTACTTGTTGTGGATACAGTTGTGGTTGTTGTTGTGGTACTGGTTGTCGATTTGCTTATAGTGGTTGTTTTGGTACTGATAGCTAGAAATTTGAAATTTATATTTATGGAATATTTGTATCTTATGATATCTTCAAAACAATACTTTTTATATTTATTTTTTCTTTAATTGCATTCGACTTAATTAAGAATGCTTTCTACTATTTATAGCATCATAGACTTCCTTTTTTCTCTGCTTTATTTCATGTGATGATAATGTAATTTGAATATTCTTATGTATATCATCAAATCTCATCAGTGTTTTATTCAGTTACAATATAAAAATCATTTCATTATGATAATATAATTTTAGTCATGTTCAAAAACTGTCAAATAGATCGAAGATAAACGAAAGATTATTGTATATTACAATATATCCTTGCCTACTAAGCTAATACCTCGAAGAGACAAAGTATAAAGTATAGATGAAATTCTAATCGAATAGTTTCTTTTCTTTTTCTATATATGTAATTGTAACTTTTTCAATTATTCTAAGTCTAAGAAACTTAATATCAATCCTAAAAAACATTTCTACATATGAAAGGTATTATCCTATAGACATAACGATACTTGTGAATCTTTAACACTCAAAACTAAGTAAATATGTGCATAATAGTACTTGTTGTTGTTGTCTTAGTTGATTGTGATACTAAAGCTATGACACTTGCAGCAATAATTCCGCCAAGAAGAATAAAGCCAACTATCGAGAAAAATATACATACAGGTGGACAAGCACAACAACATCTAATAAATTTGAATATATCATTTTGAACATATCTAATATATAAAAAGAATAGAACAAAATACTTACCCTGCCATTTTATTGTTATCTTTTCTACGACGTTTCTCAGCCGATTCTTTCTGATCTGGTTGATTGTCAATCAACTAGTTTAAATCAAAAATATTGAATAGAAGAAAAAGAAAATAAGGAAATAGAAATTGGTACTTTATTAACATTGGGATGATCAATTGCATTGAGGTTTTCTATAACCGCATTCTAGGAAAAAAACCAAGATTTTTCTATTTACATGCGGAAGAAAATAACTGTGGAATTTACTTGATAATAATTTATTGAATAAGTTTTAATTATTGCTGATCGCTTATGATCATGTTGTAGTGGAATATTTATGCTTTTGGTTGTATACGTTGGATGATTATTGAAATAATTGTATCGATGTTTTCTTGACTGTGAGAAAAGTATTAAAAAAGCAAATGAGTAATACTGGTTTTTTATATATTGAAGAAAGCGCTTGTGCAAAAAATAACGTTATTTTCTAAGTAGATGAACGATTTTGGCCATTAATGTGATCAAGATAGATCGATACATTTTTTCTTGTTTTCCTCGGTATTCACAGCTGATGGGTTACTCTGCTTGTAGGTACTTTCCCGCTCATTCGTGCGGTGGATATTCATATTTCTTGGCAACTCATGCTTTACCAGTCAGATGTATGTTTAACAAAAAGCATTCCGTTCTGTAGATTTCTTTGTCTTGAAGTAGTGAAAATTCCGATGATTTTTGAATAGTCAAAACCTGTTTGATGAGTCAAAAAGAGCTGATCGATAGATAGAACATTCCTAACGATTATTTATTCGATAGTTATGTAGCGGAACCAAGGCTCAAATCAAACAACAGAAAAAAACCAGATATTTTCGATCACTCGTCAGACTTATCATTGGTTTCTAATGATCTAGTTAAGTACATAAATGAGTTTGTTATTTTTAGCTAACAATTCTTTAATAATATTTTTTTTCGTTCATTCTTTCCTGGTACCAGTAGGCGGTGACTGATTTTTGTTTCTTTAGAGTTACTGTGAATTGAATATGAAATTTCTATTGTCTTACTTGGAATAATGAAAATGGACGAGAATTACGTTTTTTTGCATTTAGAAAAGAAGCAAAGGAATTATTCGACGCGAAGAAGTATGCCAATGGAATTCCATGATTAGAATCGAGTATAATTCTTGAGACTTCCTTGAAAAGAAAGAAATTACTATGGAAGATGAATCAGATAAAAGATTTAACTGGTTCCAAACTATCACCAACATCTGCTGATTTTTGACTACCAGAACAAGTGCTCTTCAGGGCTGGACGAATTTTACGAGTCACGCTAACATGTTGAAAATTGAATTTTTTTGATTGAAGAATGCTCTAAATAAAAGAAAAGTTTTTCAAGAATGATTCTAAATAATCCTACTAGAGTTTTGACCGATTGTTGACGATGACGACGAGATAATCTTACAACTTTTGGCATTTCTGAAAATGATCTTACAGTAACATGTCGTGTTCTGCTCCGCCCAATGGACAATACTCGACCAAGATTACTTCGATTCGTTTGTGTATGTGCTCGATTTACCATTATTAAAGTTACTAAAAGAATATCTTACAAATAATCTACAAAAAAAAGACTTTTTATATTCGTACTGTTCCTTGCCCAAAATCGATAAATCTTTTATATTTGAAATAGAAATATTTCAACACTTATTTCCAACATAAATATAGTTCTTATGAATGATCTAAAAGTGTCCCTATTCACATCAATACAAAGTTGCAAACTTGTGACAATATCAATGATAACTATACCTAATATCTTTTTCTTTATAGCTCTGACTTCTTTCTTAATTCTATTCTTCAACTCGTAAGTATCTTTGACTGTGGTTTTGTATGCGCTTGTTTCAATACATCTCGACTTAGACATTATGATGTTCAAGAAATTGGTCCACCTTTTTCAATTCGTGTTTTATAAAAAATTTTATTTAATCTAGCACGAACTTCTTTCGTACAACGAGATGGAGCATAATCTTGCTTCAAAATCATCGACTTATGTTTTTCCTCATTTGTACAAACAGATAGAAATAAGGTTAGAACATGTTCAGATAATTATAATCATTGCTCGTTTCATCTTCAAACAAGTATGAATCGATACTTCCTGATTCACTAAGATAATTATGGTTGATCGTAATTGCACAAACATAAAAATTTGATTCTGAAAAAAATAACAGCATCATTAACGTATTCTTGTATGGTCTTGTTGATATAACTGTTGAATATAGCGTATCATACGCAGCTTGAATCTGATGGTAGCGTGTATTATTCGATGCGGTTAATATTTTGAAACGCCCACTTTTTGATTAACATTGTGGACATCGTTGACTAGTTCCTTAGCCAAAACATATTCAACGTTGTGAATTTTATCTTCTTCTATTATTGAAGGTCATTGTGGACGATTGATGTTTTGAGAAGAAGTAGTATCTATAAAGTTCCGATACGTCTATGTAATACTACACCCTTCTAAAATGTTGGTTGGTTCTTGACATCGTAATTCATAAATGATCCTTCTCAGATATTGAAATTTGACGAAGTTCATTGATATTTGCTGTGTCTCTAATAAGTGTGTTGTATTGTTGATTTGAAACTAAAATAGAACATGAAATAATTATCTTTCAAACCGAACAACGATGAAGATAAGCAATCTGTTCGTAGATTATTACTGTCGATATTCTGTATTTCATATATTAGTGAAACAATCTTCTCTTTAAAATGTATTCGATTCAATGAAACAATAAAAGAAAGAGGCGAAATTTATTGTTTGTATATATACGTATATATATATGGTTAAATGAGATTCAAGGCTTGATTATTAAATTCAAATTCTTCGTTGCAAGAAAATATGAGAGGCATAAATTAAAGGCTTCATAGAGAGCTTAAAAGTAAAGTTTTATTCATTCGTATTTTTTCGACCAAAAAACAACTTGAGCTATGTACAAATCTTTTTTTTGCTCGTGACTATAAAAACAAAGATTAAGATGTTTCTTCGAAATTGTGTTCAAAGAATATGAAATGGAGTCATAATTCATAAATAGTTTTGCTATGAGAGGAGGATATCAGGACTAAAATTATTGTATAACTGTTATCAAATATTTTTTGAATGATTGATGTTGTACATTCTTGTTTTATTTTGAAACATGTGACAGTTTCTGTTTTCGTTTTATTATTATTTTTTGAATTGAAATGCAAATTGATTTAGTCCTTAAGAGAAAAAAAAGAAATATCAATTATTTTTCGTATTGCAATTGTTCGTTCTTTTCTTTACCTGCAGATTTTTTTGACCTATTCAGACCTGAGAAGTTGATGAAAAAATTTGACTATAAGGCACATTCAAAAACAGTGCAACATTAACGTCTGTGAAAATTGAAGCAGTTGTTCAAAGTATTAGAAGTATAAGGATATTAAGCATGATGGTATAGTAGTATTAGAGATATCGAATAAAGAAGCTTCAAGGTATAACAGATCTAATATCCAAAATACTTTTATAGCTCTAACAATTGTAGATCTCAATTTTATTGCAAAATGAATTTATTTGAAATAATATTATTGTAAAGCCAAATTCCGAAGATTATGTGCTGAGAGAAATACTAAGATTCATAGATTTTGACTAAAAATGTTTACTTAGTGGTTTTCATTGAAAGATGCAGATTACATAAGAATTTTGAAAAAAAATCTTTTCATGATATATCAGGGGGTTATATGTCTCTCTATAGTCTTTGATCTCGAATAAATTTTGATCGAAAGATCTAAGAGAGCAGAGATATCCATCATAACGCTGCGAACATCATGACAGCGACACACTTTTAAAGAAATAGCTGCAGGACGTTAGGTTTTTCAAAACACTATTGTAGCAGCACTAGCAGCCTATTTTTTTCAGTCATCACGCCACAGCAGTGACTCTGCTATGAAGAGGCTTCTCAGTTTGTTTTGATAAGAAATATACAATCTATAGGGTATGGTCTATGTTGACATTTAGACTAATCAAAATCTAGAAACTCATTTACCATAATTGAGGATGGGACTTCATCTCTACTTTGTCCGGTAAAGTAGAAGGCAAATACTTTACTTTACTCGGTAAAATAAAGTAGGTCCTTTTACTCAATAAAGCAAAGTAAAGTCATATATTAAGGTTATGTTTATTATTAATTTATTAGCTCATTATCATGCGTTGATAAGGTTCAAAGCATATCAAATGTTATTCAAAACCATTTTTCTATGAATAATTGGACAAAAGCGAAATAAGTAACGCTTGTCGTTATGACTCGTTTGAGCGTCAACTGAATGTTCAACTCTTTCTGTATAATATAAACAAAAGTATGTACAAAAGTGAGTGTGAGTGCCGGTGTGAGTTTGCGTATCGCTGACAGTATCTATGAGGATGTGGATGTGCATGCCATGGAATGCTTCTCATCACACTGACAGATTCACAAACCTCATCATACACCATAGCCTGACACCCATACTCCCAATATACACAAATTCTATATTGAAAGCACATCACAAGATCTCGATCCACGACTACGTGCACACTCCACCCTCGGATTGGGTCAGATCGGATTATGAGAAACTTTTTGGATTTCGGGGTGGCTCTGCGGTCTGAACATTGTGAAATCAAAACGCATTTCAAATTTTATCTTCATTGAAAAGCTCTAAAGGAGAGTATGGTAAAGCTTACTAGAACAATAAGTTACGTATCGTGTGATCTTTTCTTCTACTTTACTATTTTTTTTTTTATTAACAATGGACTATAATGCATAGCAACTACACTCTATTTAATATTGATAAAAAGGACGCAGGTTGTATACATAAGAAAACAAAGATAAACGAGAAAATTTTCGACCACGTAATCGCATGATCATAACTAAGAAATATCGACAACATATTAAGGACGAAAAGAGGTCAAAGATATATTCTTTTTTTCCTAAGTACGATATAAAAGAGAAAAAAAAGATTCGAAAATTTGATTTTTTCAAGAGAAAAAGAAAAATCGTAAACTTGAATGAGGCCACAAAAAAATAGTTGAGCCTCTAGTCGGGTCGGGTCATGATAATTTCACCCATGTAACACACTATCCTAAAAACGGTAAGTACTATTTGAGAAATTTTAACTTTGGAAAAATTCTAGCTTTTCTATAAAGATACAATATAAATATTGATATGTTATAAAAAGAAAGTCTTTGTAATGATTCTTATTTTTATTTCTAGAAGACAATAGATAAATTGTTCATGAACAATTAAAATAGATAATCGTAAATAGTTATTATGGATAAGTGGATGAACCCATAAGAGTGCTTGACGTTGCACTATAATTATACGAATTCTTTAAAACACAAGTGAATGTTCGTGTAAAAGTGAGAACAGAACCAAAATGGTACATAATTTAATAGGTGATTGGCAGTGGATTACTACTGCTGATGGTTGAATTGAGTTAAATTGGTTCAAAGCAGATATGATAAGTGCCTGCAGATGATAGGGAACCACTATTTGGCGACTAATGGTGTGGGTGTGGGTGCGGGTGTCGTTATTCTCTTCATCCACACTACACTCCACCCACACCCACACCCCACTCACACCCACACCCAAAAGAGTGTGCCGGCTAGTGTATTTTGTGCAGTCAGTCAGTCGCCTTAATTTTTCATTGTATCGTGATCGTTCGCCATCTAAATGAAGGGTCTCATGTATGACTCGATGAATTCAGTTGATGATCGAATTGTCAATTAGTGGACTTCAGAAAAATAGAGATAGTTCAATGAAAATGAGAAACGAGTTTGATCCCGAGAAATGCAATAGATTCATGTTCTCATGATCCGCATCAACATCTAAACTTCGAATTTTCATCATGATGCGTTCAAATGTAATACGTGCAACACTGGATGGGGAGCGTTTCGAAATGATTGAGAGTATCTGAATGTTGTGAATTTCTTGGAAGTAAACTGTTGTGTCACCTTTATTGATCAATCAGTAATTTTTGAAGTCCACTGACTGATTATTTGGTCATCAGTCGATCTTGTTGAGGCATACATGAAATTATACCATGTCCCAACCTCTTTCGAACGATGGAAGCCACAGCTCTTACTGTCTTTTTCCTATCAAAATTTATTTGCAATCAAATGCTGTCAGGTGACTTTTGCACCACCTCGTATTTTTGAGCAAGTTCTATGGCAAACAGATTTATATTTTATAAGCGCATTTGAAATATTGACAAAGACTTATATGTTTATTACTGGCAGAAAATGTACGTTTGTTTTACATTCTGAAAATGATGAAGATATAATTGATATAATTGAAATATTTTTTCTGGTATCAATTGACAAATGAAATTGAATAACATTGTATTCAACAAGAACTACAGCTTTTTGTTGTTTGTACCAATTAGACAGTAATGTCAATTTGATAGTTGGATACAGTTTTGCGCGGTATCCACATCCAAAGAGTGACTGTATTTATTTAAAAGTTGAAATTTGAAACTTCTATTGAATTCAATACTCAAGTTTGATATATATATTCGACCTAGATACTCTTCAGTTTGGATTCGATAAATCTACTTCACTTAATTTTTATACCTTACTGCTTTTAATAAAAATACTGATTGATTTTTTTTTAACAATTGTATTGATCAGTTTGTACATTTGCTAGCGAAAGAAACACTGAAAATATAGGGTAACTATGGATGCGATTCTATATGAAATTTCATTCTTTTTTAAAAGATTTAGAATAACAAGCAGAAACTTTATTCCAATATCCATCTGTACTTGAACGCCGACATCCTATGGGACCTCCATTATGAATACGAGCATAATCTTCGCAAGTTGGTTCACGATTCTTAGTACATCGTTTACCATAGCGATCCATATAAGCACGTACACATTCTTCCGAACAATCTTTGTATGTTGCACACGTTTCAAATGAATCATCTGGTGTACCACAATCCTCTCAATAAACTTTCTTCAATTGATAGTAACCACATGATAGTGAATTGACATCCCATGCACAATCCTTTGGTGAACAGCCTGATTCAACTTTACAAATACATGCAAGACAATCGTCATCGATTTCAGCATTGATCATAAGTGTAATAAATAACAGGCCAAAACTAAGCGAAATACTCTTTGATACCATGTTAATTTTTTATTGCTGTAATGAATTGTATTTCAATCGTTTATGTATGTATGTATGTATATATTCAAATATACACGCATATGCGTTAAATAAAGCAAAATAAAACGCAAATTACGTCAACATCAATACCCCATTTATTTAAATGTCTTATTCATTTTTTTACGGATATAGTTTTCGAGTTCGTTCTTTTTCTTCCTCTTGAAGAAATTGGTATTTTACTCTCAACATATTGACTAATTTTTTGTACGATTTAATTATACTGGAAAATCTCGAACTTTCTATCAATATCAATATTTGTTTGTTCTGTCAACATCAAAAATGCGTAATATTCATACGGACACATGACATCATAAAAAAAACGAAAGAAACTCTTTGTAGCAAAAAAAAGAGTAATTTTTTTAAAAGTAGTCATAGATTCTTTCTAAAATATTTACGTTTATGAAATAAGACTTTTCATGTTCACAGCCAATGAAATTAAGGAAGGCTCTCGTTAATTACACTCCTGAATACTTTTTCTACATGTGCTATTTTACATTAAAATTAATGGCTCAAATCAATTACAGAATACACGTGTCACTCATAATTTAAAGACTTAGCAGATTGATTTACAAAAATAATTATAAGCATTGATACAAGAAAGGAATGTCTTGAGATGTGAAATCATTCTCCAAGATAGATTTATCTCAGGTTTATCTTGAAAATCACCTACGAACCTTTGTATTATTTCAGTATGGTTCATATATTCTGAAACTTCAAGACCAAACATTTACAAACCGATTTCATAATATTAATTCAATGTTATAGCTAATAGCACAATAGAAATTCATTAATATACAAATTCAAGTTAAAAAATCGAAATAATAAACCAATTATCGTCATTCATGTTCAAATACATAAGGAAAAATTCAGCTTGTCTAATATTATAGTTTACAAATAAATATCATCGAATCTTGCTCATAGCTTCTTGCAAATGTTCTTAATATCTTACGAAGTAGTTTCTTCATGTTTAATTGAAAATTGTCATGAAAGTCATAAATATAAATTATTCTTTTTATTCCTAATAGAGACAATTTGCAATTGACGTCATAATATCAATGCATGCGTTTTTTATTAGCCATCTTCGTTGTCTTTTTTTTTTATTCTGAGAAGCAGATTGTCATTGACAGAATTAAAAAAAACTCATAGGTCAATATTTGAACATCTATATATATATATATATGTTTTTCTTCTCTCACTGTAACATGAATAATAATAAGTTTTCTTGACGTTTTTTAAAATATGAACATAACAACCATGAATACGACTAATGAAATAAGTAAACCATTCCTTTTTTGTCTTGATAAATCAAATAATTCCAATTTAAAACAACATCTTTGTAATTTTTCAACACGATTTTTTAATGATGGTAAATGTTTAATAAAAAGTATATTATTAAATAAAACAACTGAATTTTATCCATGTGCACTTATACTTACTGGAGATTTTAATTCAATTAAAGAAATTCTTACAAATCAAAATTGTCATAGAATAAAAATATTTATTTTTTGTCAAAATTTTACAAGACAAATTTATGAACCACTAATGATTGAATCAAAATCCATTGATCATATTATTGGATTATTTACAACAATTGATGATTTAAAAGATGCACTTGAAGATATTTTAATTCAAGAAACACATAATCGACAAGTTATTCGTTTTATTACTGGTAATTTAGAACCATATTTATGGTATGAATTCTTAAAAGAAACATCATTTAAAATTGATACAGATCATTTGAAACAACCAATCGATATATCTAATATTAATAGACAAATGGAATATGATCCTTTAATAACATTATATACACTTCGTTCATCTATTCGTAATTTATTACAGAGAAAAATTTCAAATAAAAAAATTTTCTATGGAAATGTTATAAAAAAGACTTTAATTGAAAAACTTCAATCAAATATAAATAACATTATTTCATTTAATTCATTTATTCAATATCAAGGACATGATCGTATACAAGATGCTCGTCATCAATCAATACAATGTTGTTCTCGTCGTAGTGATGAAGTTTCAATTATTTTTGAACTTGAATTAGCTGATCAACCAACATTTAAAATAATTCGAGTTTTTAATTCTAATCATGATATAAATTTATGGATTGTACAATTAATTGGTACACATGAATGTGTTAAATTATCTAAACAATTTTCACATGTTAAACGTACTACTTGTACATTAACTCAATGGCAACAACAAGAAATTTTATTTGGACAAATTTTAATTGAAATGAATGAAATTGATAAAGCTTATACATATTTTTTTCATATATTTATTAAACAATATGATCAACTTAATAAAATTTATACGGAAGCAAATCAATTATGGCAAAATGATAAAAAATATACAGAAGCTATTGCACATATTGCAACTGAGTTTCAAAAAATTAAATCAAGTATTTCATCAAACAAAACTATAAATAAAGGAAAAGAAGAAATAACTTATTTCGAATCTGAAATTGATTCTACATGGGAAACACCAATTACATTAGAAGATACCACTAAAATAAATGATCTTTTAGCACCAATATCTTATCAAATGGATCAAGTATTAACTAGTGGAAATCTATTAGAACGATCAAAATCAACTTCTAAAAATCGATGTTGTTCTTTGTTTTGATTCTTTTTTTTTTTTTTAATTTTGTCATGTGTCAAGCATATTTGTCAGGGTTTCTTCTACATTGAGTCAATACACGCATTAGTGATGACAGATAGTTAGCTGGTTTACTAGATCATTCTTTTCTGTACTCTAATATTTATTCATATCAACTTAATTCTATTTGAAATAATACATAATCTAGACAGATCAAAATATAAGTAAAATCTTAATCTTTTTTTTGAACTCAGATCACGTATTTTCCAGTGGATATTAATGAATTTTTATCAAAGTACAATCAATACTATACACGCAAACATTAGTTGACTTTGTATGTTGAGTTCGGTTTATACAGTTTTAATTTTAATTATTTTTGCATTAAAAGAAAACTTTTAGATAAATTCGAATATTATATTCGAGTTTAGATTAAAAAAAATATTCATCTTGTACAAAATTGTTTTATTTGTACATCAAAGAATAAAACTTATTATGACATAAAAATAAAACAATAACACGTTGATCATGCAAATACAAATATTTTACTACTTATTGATCATTCTCACTTGAGAATGTTAGAGTTTTTTTTTTGTCATAATTTATCAAGTATTTCTGCAAATATTACGTTGAAAAAATCAATATAAAACTGTGATTCACAAAAAATTTATAATCAATCACGGATCGTACAAAATATACTTTTAAATAATAATCAATATCAATTAAAATACGTTTATATTTAAATGTATACTCAGTTTGAAGTTAATAATATGAAAGTAGCTTTTTGAAAATATAAATTGATTATCTTCGTTATTTCTTTTTTATATGGTTATAGATAAAAGTATTTTTTCTTATTTTACATGGATTTCTTTTAAACCTGACGAGAGGAATCTGTCTGAAATGTTAAAAAGTTTTCAAACTCATTTTTTTTTGTGCATTAATTAGAAGATCAATAGACTACGAAAATCGTAAGACGATATGGACGCAAATTGCTGCTAATTATTTTGAATAACGTGTGATAGAAACATCACAGAAACTTGTGATTTTCACTAATCCGAAAATGCAGCTAGGTAGGGGTGACTCAACACATTGAATCGAATGGTGAGGTGTAGTTTTAGCTTCAAAACAGACCGTCACCAGAATAGAGTGCTCTCACAGAAAGCCACTTTAAATCATTTACTAAATGCAAGCATGAATCTTTCAGAACAAGCGTCATCGATGTAACCTTCACCAGCTAGTGATGACTTCATGTTTTTAACTGATTAGATTAGAACTTATGAATGTGGTATCCATTCGAATTCATCATTGTTCAATACGAACTCTTTTGATTTCGAGGAGATTCAGCACCTTTTATCAAATTGTAAGCACGTCTAACAAATAATAAGAGGGAAATGAATCTCGAATTTCTGATCAAAAGTGGTCGAAGATTTCCTCTCAATTAAATGAGGATATTCAGTCACAACAACAGTCCTGTTTTCGTCGACGGATCTATTGTTTTTGTAAGCCTATAATACTGGTATCATGCGCTCATGCTAAAGAAGATAAGATATTGAACTAAAATCTATTATTTCTTCATTAAGAATAAATTAATATGCTACTATTTTTACTTCAATACAGAGGAAAGTTTCTTCGATATATGACACCTTCAAAATAGAGAATCTTTTTCATGAATATTATAAATTACATGCATTTTTTAACCCTTTACCCCCCATGGAGGTTCCAGAAGAGCCACTGATAAAATAACTTTATTAATACAGTACTGCCCTAGCTAGTATGCAAATGGCATAATCTGATCCATCGAATGTTCTGCTCCAAGAGTAGGACGATTTGATTTATCCAGAAATCATGGGGTAGGGAAAGAAAATTGAACTATACCGTAAGAGTTGATTTTTATTCTTTGACCACAATATTGAGTGGACAGAAGGAACATCTATCTCGCGCTATTAGAATAATGGAAAAAAGGCGAGAAATAAACCTATAAAAATGAACACCAAAGAATACATGCGTTTTTTTGATGTTTTTTCAAATTAAAGCCAATTTTATTCTTGGCCATTTAATAACCTCTCATCAAATTGAATTCATCATAAATAGAGTTTCGACTTCTCATGAGTCGAGGTATCTAATATATGTATTAACTGTGCTCTTGATTTCGCCCCATAGGTCAATTGGTGGCTACATGGTCAATCATATTTCTTTGTATGTCATATTCGCTGAGTTATCACTAAAATTTTGAAATGAGTAAATCCATGGGAAACGTACCACGTTTACATCGACTTTCTCAGAATTGACTGAAATTTTCAGAGTTTGTAGAGCTCAATGAGCTGATCATTTTGGTAATAAATTATTATGGGTTTGATTATGGATTAGGGTTGAAATAGGCAAAATACATTTTTCAAAAATTCCGGAAAATCATGGTTAAAGTGAAAAGTTTTCATTTTTGCGAGAACATTTTCTCTTTTATTTCAAGAACAAATTGAAACATTCTATATATATTCTGATAGCCCATGCTCAGCTCTATCGAATCATAAATGATTCAAAATGTTTCCAATTTTTAAGAAAAATTTTTAATTGAACAACAAAAAGTTCACTGCAACACAAACTTTATCTTCTAATAAAAAACCCCTTCCGAATTTGGGTGAATTGTGATCTAGTAGGTTTTGTAGAGCGTCAAACGCTCTATCTTGTGGCATATAGAGCTTTGCAGTCGTTTTCCGTTTTCATGCATTAGAGAGCCAAAATGTTTATCTACTGCTGCTTTGTGAAGGTTTTAGTTCATATTTCTGGACTTTTCAAAAGAAAAACTCAATAAACTAATCTGAAACTTTATCCTCAAAGAAATCTCACTTAGTAGAGTAGTAGTTATAAAAAATTGATTGACATTATTTTCTCTTTCATATCATTCTACGATAGTAAAATGTCACAAGTCACGTTTGAACTCTTGATTGTTCAAACGAGAAGGGTCGTTAATCCATAAATTCGGTCCCTTCCTGAAATTGTATTTTATGCTTTCCAAATAATCGATTGGAATGTCAAAAGTCGATTAATGTTCGAATTAGTGAGTTAGCCTTAGTTATAGCTATGCACGAAGGGCCACAAAAATTTATATTGTCTATTACCTGACCAGTTGCAGTATGCCGTGTTCCCATAAAGTATATTGACTCTGTTAACATCTTAATTTGAGTTAAATACCAAATAAAATTTTGTTTTTTTTCGCTATCCAATGATATATAATAGTATGAGAAAATACTTTTCTTTCATTGTTTTCTTGAGATGACCTTGTACACTACTATGTGACACTTTATTGGTATTGATGAAAGTCCTATGTTAAGGTACAAAAGAAATACAGATCCAACTTGAGTAAGGTACTATTCGTTAGCCCTTTGGAAGCTCTACAAAACTATGCTATTACAATGAGTTTAGGGTGTGGGAAAGATAGTTAACCCAAAGGCATAGTGCTGTAGGATGCCAAAAATTCAATTTTTTCGGTTGTTTGTGATTCATTTTTGCTTGAAATATCCGGCTCTATGTTTGGAAAAATGACATATTTAAAAGCAGCATCAAAAGCTGAGTCGGTCTTTATATGTTAAAAACTGCGCTATCGACTTTCATTTTTCTCGAAAAATTCAACCCTGGTCTCCCTAAGGGATATGCCGAAAGATAAACTCGACAGAGTTCTCATTTTTATTTCTTACATAGCTGCCATTTTGACTTTTTCTAGCTTTTAAGCAATGAACGCCTACGTTTTCATGTTGAAACTCATGCTTTTCCGATATTTATTTCGAACATCCCTGAGGACCATGGCTGAGTTTCTCAAAAAAAATGGAAGTCGATAGCGCAGTTTCAAGTACATATAGACTAACTCCACTTTTCATGCAGATTTCAAATATACGATTTATTCAAACACCGAGCCGAACAGTTTGAGTGAAAATGAATAAAAAAGTGAGAAAAAAAATGCAATTTCTGGTGTCCTACACGACTGTGCCTTTGGTTTGATTATCTCCCCCACAAGTTAAACTAAATGTAATAGCATAGTTTTGTAGAGCTTCAAAAGACCTATTGAATAGTACCTTACTCAAGTTAGATCTGTATTTCTTTCGTACCTTAACATAGGACTTCCATTAATATCAATAAAATGTCACATAGTAGTGTGCAAGGTCATCTCAGGAAAACAATGAAAGAAGAATATTTTACCACACTATTTTATATCATTCGATAGCGAAAAAGCAAACTTTTATTTGGTATTTATCTCAAATTAAAGGATGTTAACAGAGTCAATATACTTTATGGAAACACAGCATATTGCAACTGGCCAGGTAATAGACAATATATTTTTTTTGGCCCTTCGTGCATAGCTATAACTAAGGCAAATTCACTAATTCGAACGTTAATCGACTATTTGAAGAATATAAAACTTGATTTCAGGAGGCGGTCAATTTCATCGATTAACGACCCTTCTCGTTTGAACAATCAAGAGTTCAAACGTGACTTGTGACATTTTACTATCGTAGAATGATATGAAAGAGAAAATAATGTCAATCAATTTTTTATAACTACTACTCTACTAAGTGAGATTTCTTTGAGGATAAAGTTTCAGATTAGTTTATTGAGTTTTTCTTTTGAAAAGTCCAGAAATATGAACTAAAACCTTCACAAAGCAGCAGTAGATAAACATTTTGGCTCTCTAATGCATGAAAACGGAAAACGACTGCAAAGCTCTATATGCCACAAGATAGAGCGTTTGACGCTCTACAAAACCTACTAGATCACAATTCACCCAAATTCGGAAGGGGTTTTTTATTAGAAGATAAAGTTTGTGTTGCAGTGAACTTTTTGTTGTTCAATTAAAAATTTTTCTTAAAAATTGGAAACATTTTGAATCATTTATGATTCGATAGAGCTGAGCATGGGCTATCAGAATATATATAGAATGTTTCAATTTGTTCTTGAAATAAAAGAGAAAATGTTCTCGCAAAAATGAAAACTTTTCACTTTAACCATGATTTTCCGGAATTTTTGAAAAATGTATTTTGCCTATTTCAACCCTAATCCATAATCAAACCCATAATAATTTATTACCAAAATGATCAGCTCATTGAGCTCTACAAACTCTGAAAATTTCAGTCAATTCTGAGAAAGTCATGTATAAAGTGGTACGTTTCCCATGGATTCACCCAATATATTTTATTTATCAAAGAACTTCTTCGTCAATTAATATCACATAGAAATTCCATGAGATCTCTATTGGCTGCGAGTAGAAAGTATTTTACTTAAAAAATTTCAATTTTTTTCATTTTTTCAAAATTTTCGATTTTTTTAGACCCTTTATTTCAAAGACGGAGCAATCAAAAGGAACAGTCTTTCTACCAATGGATAGCCCATGAAGTTTACTACAAAAAAGGTGCTTAGCGTTTTTTAACCCGATGCTCCCTTTCTTTTCCGCAGTCGTTCTACAAATGGTCACTCCAGTGACCAAGGGGGGGTAAAGGGTTAAAGACTCATATCTCGAAGAGACTTTTTTTTCAAAACTTCTGACGTTTTAATGAAAGCTAGTTCAGTTGAGTTCCCTATATGAATAAAGTTGCAGATCAAAATTCGAAAATATGAGTTATGTAAGAGTAAGACATATATTCAAACGGATAATTATCATTCATTAGAAATCCTAACTGATCGAGAAAAAAGTGTTCACGCCATATAACAATTAAGAAAATGTCAACCAAACAGGAAATATATCTTATAGTCTACAATAATTCATATCCGTTAATAAAACATATATTCTTTTTGTAACAGTCACCAGGTTGTTTATTATTTACTAGACGTTCGTTTGTTTTCATTGTTTAACTTGATCATATCAAACAAAGATTTCACTTTTAAAATTGCATACACATGTAGAAAGCGTTAGTAATGATTAGATTAATAATATGTTACTCATGGCTATAAAGAATAAAAACGAATGTCATAACTTTAGTATCAACAGCAATTAAAAAAAACGGACATTTCAATCAAACAGACATAATGAACTTGATATTCTATCAAAATCATGGGATCAAATTAATGAAAAGCTCTACTTCATCATTCAACATATCATTTTAATATATATTTTTAAAAGTCCCTAGAAACTAATTCAACAAAACAAATCGAATGACTCATATATTTACTCACCTATGGTGCAATTCTCTGCTTTGCCTGACAACGTGGCGAAAGGAAGGTAAATATATTATACATCGATTCATTTTTTTTGTTTTTACTTACATTGCGAACATTGCAGCTTCAATATCCAATATTGGATGAGTAAAAAAACATATAGGTGACAATCAAATTTCATCGTTCAATTTTTATAATAATGACAAATTTTAATTGGATAATAATTCTAATTAGTATTCTTTGTATATTAACAATCGCTGTATCTGACAATAATGTTAATCTTTTACCAAAATCAATTCATGAACTTAAACAATATTATGATGTAATCAAAAATTTAGAAAAACGTGGTATTTTAAATAATGAAATTGCTGCTAATGAAAAACAATTATACATTGAACATGCATCAAAACTTGTCGGGAGTAAAGAATTATTAACTGAGGAAGAATTCATAACATGGAAACAACGAGAATTGATTGTATCTTTTTCAAACATAATAGCTATATTAGCTGGTATTACTGTTATTATAGCGCTAACCGTATTAATTGGTATCTATATATTACCAATATTAGTTCATATACCAGCTATTTATTGGGAAATATTCTTTTATATAATATCAATATCTTTAATGATATTAAATCATAATTCATGGTTAATTTTCTTTGGTTGTCTTACATTTCTAGCAACATTATCATTTACAATTAAATTACATTTTTCAAGAGATAGACATGCTGTTTTAAAAGCATGTTGGATATGTTTTTTTGTTTGGACGATTGTAGCTATTTATCAACAACATCGTGAAGCAGGTTATTTAGCTGTTATGGCATTAGAAGCATCATTAGGTTTTATAATATTTGTTGGAGAATTAATTATTGTAATTGGTTTTCATAATGAAAAAGTTATTCCAAGTGCAACAATAGCTTCATTTATTTTAATTCTTATTGGAAGTATTTTACATATTCAACAACGGTCAAATATATTAACAATACCATTTACTCGACCATTATTATTTTTAGGAACATTTGTTTATTTTATTGGATTGCTTATTCTTAGTTCAAGTTTATATACTAAACAGAACGCAGGAAAACTTGCAGCTTTATTATTACAAATTATTGCATTTTGTAGTGGACTAGCAACAATGTTTTTTGGTCCAATGCTTGAAATACCATTTATTCAAGCTATTGGTGGTACAATGTTTGTTATATGGCTATTAGAAAAATATGTTGAAATTGCACCATGGAAAAATACAATAGCAGTTGCTAGTAGTTTGTTAGGTTTTGGATTATTACTATATGGATTTGCATATTTTTTGAAAACGAATCCTGAATATTTTATTTTTCATATATATTCTTCGAAATGAACATGCAAAACTTTTCTTTTTTTTTTTTGATTATTTTTTTAAATTCGGTTATTGACGAAATTTTGATGTTGTTTAATTGCTATGTAATAATGAATATAATGACATATTAATCTCTTCACAAGTATTATTATTTTTTTATTAATTTATACGATAGACTAGAAACCCCTTCATTGTGTTTATCAAAATAGGTTGATTTTTTTGTCAGTGCTAATATTTTCAAAGTCAACACTCATAAATACAACGTGCAAAATGTCTTTTGGAACCTAACAACATATGATTATGCAAATATCTCGACACTGATAAATCGTAGAAGCTTGACTTTTTTTTGTTCGAAAAATATGTTGTGGGATTCTTTACAAGAATAGTAATAAGAGATACTATTGAGCCAATTTGACGATTTTTTTTATAAGGTTAAAAATGAACCATTTTATGAGGATGAAATATTTCATTATTCTAAATGACAATAGAATGCATTATTTTGTGCTCATTTTTACATCCATCGTGGAATTCCTACTACTTTACATTAAAAAGATGTTTGAATTGTATTGATCAATTTTTTTGAATAGCACAACGTAAAGACCTTTGTGATTTCGTTTATCATTGGATGCAGCGATTCAATCGAAATGGCTTGGTTATTGTACAAAAATCACCCAATAATGAAAATGGGTGAAGTAAAAAGTTCATTACTTTAGATTTCTGAAGTTTTCTCCCGTTTTTGTAATAGACAATAATGATATTACGAAAGTCTTTACAGCGTGCTATCAGAGATGCCACCTCTTCCGCTTTTTGCGGAAAGTTTCCGCTATTTTCCCACTGTTCCGCTTTTTTATATAAAAAGGTGATGTATTTTCAAAATATGTTCGGAGCAAAACTTATTATTGTCGAATAAAGTCTTACTGTTTACACATCCAGTTAATCATCATTCTTATTATGCCATCCATAAAATCAATGAACGAACGCATAAAGTTTTTCTATGTTAAAGGACTTGCGCACTAATTGTCTGTTCGAGAATTAAAAGCATCATTCTGCTCTCAGCTGATAGTTAACGCCTTTTCAAATTAGTTTGCCTTCTGGATGTACCCAAAAATAATTTCCAATCCGAAAATTTAAACGTTTTTTATGATCTAAAGATATTGAGATTGCAAATGATGAAACAGATCGTGAACATTTAATAACAACATCACCAATTCTGAAATCAAATGAAAATAAAAATATTGAAGACATACTAGGTGCCTATCAAAAGATAAAGAAAGGCATGTTTAATTCACAATGGCTACTTAATCCTCAGTTCGCATCATTTTTACAACAGTATAAACCAGATTCAGCTAAAGTTCTTTGTATTGCCTCTAACAAACATTTTTCCGTGTGTGATGGTAGAAAAAATGATATTGATCGTCACATAAAGTTGAAAAGATATAACAACAACATAAAATCATTCGGTATAGATCGACAATTGATAACATCAACTATGAAATCTAACACGAAGGTTGAAGAAACAGCAGCTGCAGAAGGTACTTTTGTCTACCATGGAGTGAAGCATAGTCATTCTCATTCATTTCAACAATATTTTATGTTTTGCAATTTTGTTAAAATAAAAACAGAATGCTATAGATATGAAAAAGTTGAAAATCCTCATAAATGCTAAAAATCCGCAACGAGACAAGTTTCCGCTTTTTTCCGTAATTTTCCGCTTTTCTAAGTCAACTTTCCGCTTTTTCGACTTCATGAGGTGGCATCCCTGATGGAGAAGGAGGGTGTGTACGCCGGGAATTTTTTAGGCGAGGATCAAGGCATTGGAAGACATTAAAGTTGATAAGAGTGAGCGAATAACCGATGTCGATCAGAAAAGTGACTGGCAAGGCACCAATTCGACTATGTAAAGTAAGATGATGATTCGGTAGAGTGTTAATGATGTTGATGTAGGAGAAGTTTGCTAACTACAGGTGGAAGTAGCAGAAGTTTTGTGCACCTGTTCGACGAAAACTCGTTGTTTTTTGAACGTGGAGGTAAGGGTTGTAGGATAGTGTTGACTGATTCAATGGTTCATTTAGCATTGTTGAGAGGGCAGTTTCGCAATAGCGCCAACAATTAGGATTAGATTGAGTAGTTGACGTAGAATATGAGCGTTGTAATGAATTGTGGATTCGTATAGATATTGACATGAGAGGTGTAGTATTTGGTCCGATGAACTTCGGTGTTGGGTCGAGGCGTATTGCGTAAACGTAACTTTTTGTTTCTAAGATAGAGGATTTCTTCGACTTGTTGAGCTTCTACAATGATTTTATTAAGAGAGGATGAACGGGAGGTGTTTATAAGAGTCAACATATCTAGTCGCATTTTACAAAACAGATATTTTAGAAAATCGGTTTCTTTTTCATCAGATTTTTGCTTAAGCCAAAGCGCACGTCGACGAACCACAAATTCACTAAGGGTTTCGTTCTTTTGTTCTTGCTGTGCTGTCCAAATGGGAGAAAGGAGACGAGTAACGAATTGGTTCCAGTCGATGGGAATAGTGTTTCTGATACAAAGTTGACAATACCATTCTAAAACGGAGTTTTTCAAAAAATTGGAAAATACCTTGAAGCAAAGTATCGGTACACCAGTTGTAAAGGTCAAGTTATAATTATGAACAACGCTATATATGAGAGCAGGCCATACGATTGGGGGGGGGAGGGGGAATTTCCCCCTCCTAAAATTTTGGGAGAAAGTCTCCCTGGAAAAATTTATCGTTTTTCTCCAGCGGATTTTCTCTTTGGGAAAAAAAAATTTTTCCCCCTTGGTCAAAAACAAACGAAATCTCTGTACGAGAGAAGGCCACATGAAAAATGTGATTCCAAAGTACATATAGGAGAAGAACGAGATAAACATAAAGAACGGAAAAAGACATCACGGCGATTTCAATTAGGGATAACACTGTGTACGAGAGAAGGACAAACTAATAGCACACTTCGAAAGTACACATAGGAGAATAAAAGAGATGAATGTACACAAATATGTGAATGAATAACAGACGGAAAAGGGCATCACGGCCATTTTCATTGACGACAAGCAATAATCTACATGTTAGGTTAAATTATTACAATGTGCCATTCTGTTACAGAATGAACATAATTCTATTCAAACTGCTTTATTTATCTTGGCTCAACATTTTCTATGATTTCAACTTCAGTTAATCAACTAGCGCCGATACCGCTTGGCTTTCTACATAACTCATTTCTTTTAATACGAACTATTTCAAAAGTTTGTTTTACCTCCAAAAATGGTTTCAACAGCTACTTTCGATCAAAATAACTTGAAATTGTGAATTAGAACTTTTACATACCAATGCTCTTGAATTGTTGCACGCGACATTGACAACAGAAAAAACCTGATCAGATCTAATAGAAGGTTTGTAATCAAATAATAAGCGTAACAATGCAAATACCTCATGTTCTTGTATTTATTTCCACTTGAGAAAAAGCGGTTCAGTTACCCGTAAGTTACTGAGAGGTACAGAATTACGATTCAAACAATCTGTTTTTACAGAATTACCTATTATTTTGTTTAGAAAACGTAGTGTCAACTTTTGATGCTATTAAAAAGAATTGAAAATAAGAAAATGCTGTATTATAATTTTAAAGAAAAACATCAACATTCTTGTTTTTGTAGAAAAGAAAACAAAGTATTCATTTGTACACATCTGCACAACAACTGAAACGTGATACCACACGTATTTTATTACGATTTCAAGCATAAATGTTTTTTTGATCATTCAAGGATGGTTCTATTTAAGTGTTGTATTCACTTTAAAATATAGACTTTGAGGCGAAAATTATCAAGGATCACATGTCAAATCAATAATAATCGTCAGTACTGTATACGAATATCCTGATAAGTAGAGAACAAAGGTTTTGAACTACAACCATGATCGAAGATCACATGATAAACATAAGATTCCAAACAGGATATGTTCGAATATTTTTTTCACCTAAAATTAACCGTTTGCATCTGATAACATGGTGAAAGATCCGATGTGAAATACACAAATTTTAAAAAAAGTTTAGGTCAGCAATTTTGTGTGCATTTGGACGAACTCTTCAGCTAGTATCACTGACTAACAATCACATAAAAAAATGAATTATTCTAATCAGTCACGTATTCAACAGTTTGCTCACTTAAAAACCAAGATTCAGAATTTGAAATCTAATTGAATTGCACATGGCAAACGAACGATTATCATTTTGATTCTATTCAAGAATTTTTATCGCTTCAAACACGCGATTTAACATTAATAACACAAGCTGCAATAACATAAGAACACAATGTACGCCACGAGACTATTTTACAAGTATTATGATTGCTTCAAAATAAAAGTTTCGATACGTGTAATTTACCAAGAATCTTTCGACAAATAAATAATGATCATCAAGATAATGTTAACGTATTATATTCGTCTGAAAAGAAAAACATTGTAGTTGCAACTAGGGGACAATTGGACATGAAAATTGAATAACCATAACGAGAGTTCTCTTTAAATATTGAAGTCACTCCGACGGTAACATTAGGAATAGGTAACATGTTACAAACATACGTAGCAAATGAATGATGATGATCAGAGTTGTATACAAGAATTTTCCTAAGATTTACATAGTGCCTTGTAGTTAAAACGATCATCGAAGACAAGACGTTTAATGAATAATTTTCAAGAGGACTCTGTTCATTAATCTCATAACTGCAAACATATGCATAGAGATTTGAACATTACTATTAATCATATGAGAACTGAATATTGCCAACGAAAGTTCTGTTCTATTAGTCAATATATCTCAAAGCTGTTTTCCCAAGTAGTTCAGTTTACCAAAGACCACCTAGCAATAGAATGATAATGATTATGATTGCATGCAAATATTTTCTTTCTAGAAAGTAAAACTTTTAAATGTGGAACACTAATACAGATCACATAGCAACAAAATAGTTTTAACGAGAGTTCATAGGAAGTACTTTTCTCGCTTCAGTGCAAAGCCTCACAAATGCATATCAGAAAAGATCACATGATAAATGATTGATAATAAGCAAGCAATTTTGTTCACCAATTTTTACTGTTTTTTAAAGCAAGAATTTAAAGTTAAACATGATGGAAGATCGCGTGAAAAATTTATTATGATACGAATCATTGGATTCAATTACTATGAACACCTTGGAAAATGCTGACAAGATAGAAATGTGGAAACGAGAATACTATTCCAAGTGAATCATTTTTAATAGAGTATGTTTGAATGTTGCTTTTACTTGAAATTCAACCTATGGAGTTGATAACTTACTGATAGATCACACAAGAAATGTATAATTCTTCGAATGGTTCTGTTCAGCTAGTCTACTCGTCTTTTAGTGAAAAATTTCAGTTGCATAGCTTGCTAATGACTATATATCAAATGAACAATTCTAATCATTGTTGTATTCAACTATTGCCATGCTTAGAAATGAAGACTCAGAGATCAAAACTTAATCAAAAAGCACGTAGTAAATGAATACTCTCAAGGATAAGATTATTCAAATATTCCATGCCAAAACGAAATGATTGAATTTTGTCGCATAAAGAAAAAGTACACGAAAAAAGAATAATTTCAAAGAAGTTCGTATTCAACTATGTTAAGCACGTCATAGGAGAAGTTTGGATTTAGTAGAACTGTCCAAGAGCAGATCACAAATGAATACTTTGAAGTAAGGTTCTATTCAACTATTTTACTCAGTTAAAAAGAAAAGTGTGTAGTTAATTACTTAATCCACGATACCATGATAAATAGTTGCTAAAAAGAAAGGTTCTGTTAAAATATTTTATTCATATATACATAAAAATTTTGAATTCATGCCATCAGGCAGTGTCATATAGGACATTAATAATTGGAAAACGGTTCAACATGCGATGAGTAACTATTAGGACGCTTGACAGGAGTATAATCATCAAAACTGGTAGTAGAATCAATATTAATCGCAGGATCGGGAAAAAAACCATGTTCTGTTCAACTACTTTGGCACATGTGTTAGAAAAGATTTGGAAGTAGTAACAAAAACCAATGTTGGAAAGCAAATGGATGACTAGAATGATCATTAGAATTATCATCACAAGCAGAATGACTAGGACGAAAAGAGCCATGATCACGATCATCACTATCATCAATATGTGGAATCATTGCATAATCATGATTATCAAGAAGAGCTTGATGAGTACACTAACAGGAACGAATACTAAGCTAAATATGTGAATGTTAGTATGATGAAGACCGACGATCTTTAGAAGAAGCAGCTTGAGAAGTGGAAGTGTACAGATTGAAGCTTTGTAGATGTGATGATGGTTGTAAATGATTTGGCTGAGCAGGTTTTGGTTGACCTAAATAAAATTTAATACCATTTAGAGTCATAATGTGAACTAACATTTTTGCTGCTCTATATTATTTTAGATGGTATACAGCTGTCCAATCTGTGAAGAATAACACGCGCTCAGTTGCAATTAAAAAAAACCTGTTAGCACGATCGTTGCTTGATCAAAATACAAAATACGATGAATGTTTACATTTTGTTAACCAAGGAATTCTGCAATATATGCTTTCGTTTGTGACATCGAACGTACTGATATGTCCATGATGAATAATGAGAATCGTGATGCACTATAGTAATTTTGGACATGAAATCACAGACAACTGTCTTAAATTCAATCTTCTTTCATCACAATCCTACGAAATGCTTTAGTTTCGTTCCGAAGTCTAACGCACGCTGCTATATGAAAAAGTGTTCCCAAGGTGCCCGTCACACCTGTTAGGAAGGAGGGGTCCAAGTTTCTACCCTTATACTTCAATATTCCTTTTAGATTTTGCCTAATAAAAATATGAACAGTACTCTATATACTTAAGTACAATAATTGAAATAAAAATTCCAAATCAAAAATAAAATATTATGTACAAGTGCTCTAAAAGAGAAACTCTTTCTTTCGAAAGCATAGAAGATACCAATCAGTGTTTTGACATATATATGTTACAAGGATACCATTCGTTTCCAACGGAAACGTGGATTCACTTCCACGAACTAGCTGTAATCTATTATTTACTCTTGTCTGTTACACGATCGACAGTGATTGTTTCAGTATTCAGCTAAAAAGTGAATCTCTTTTTCCTATTCGCTGTCCATCCCACAGACTATGAAACACGTTCTCACATGGTACTCTTCTACCCTTACGATAAACAGTGATAAGTGCAGCGAAAAATCTTCATTCAAAATAAATAGAGTTCAATCATCTTTCAAATTTGAATACCGATGAAATTTTTTTCAACTATACTGAAAGTCTGTTAGAAAAATTGACCACTGAACATGATTTCGAACTGACAGTTAAATGCAAAAATTCTACATATTCTAAAACTTGATGGCTTCGATTGTTGATTAACAATTTACTATAAATTCATCTTGGATATCAAAATCTATCAGGATCAAAGTTATGAGCTATTCGGATAAGTCTAGTTCTAACGGAGCCTCGTCGTCATTACGTCTTCTTTGTCAATGTTTCATAAAGGGTTCAAAGCCATTCTCTAATGGAGAAGGCATGTCTATACAATAATGCATTGTTAAAAAATTGGATTTCATCATAAAATCATAGTAGTTTCTGTCAACTGTGTAATGTTTGCATCTTTCAGTAACTAGAGCCTCTCGGTACAATTATATGTTTATTTGATGTCCTAATACGACAGCTAAGCCTTAACTAATTCGTCTAGCTCTAGTCGAAGGATGATTTACAAAATGACATGGAATCTCGCAACTTCAATGACGTACCTTTGTTTGAAAATTCTTCCATTAAGGTCAACATTGATTGTATTGAACTGCTGATGGAAGGTTTGATTGTAATGTTTTCACCCAGCTGAGTCGTATCCTGTTGTCTATAGAATAAACAAATCAGACAATTATTATCCTATGATTAGTTGAACTTTATTCATAGTGGTTTTTCGGCAACTAAAGCTGTCAATTTTTTTTAATTAAAACTACTGAAAGATTGCTTTTATTTCCTAAAATGCTTTCCAATGTTATCGGCTAGAATGAAATAAAAACAAAAACAGAACCGACTGAAACTAGCCAGCATCAGTCAAACTGGTGAAATGTACGAAAATTTTCTATTTTGGTTGGTTCCCATCAGATCTGATGTATATTTGTGTAATTCTATGAAATTGCATCAATGGAATTGGAGAACACAATCAATACTATCCATATTGATAGTCAACATATTAACAGCAGAGTTAAGTATTTCAGACCTTTCTCGGTCTAGTTCTAGTTTCGAACTTAGTGTTTGACCTATGATTTTGGCTCTTGTATTCAGATATAATCAATTCAAATCTGCCTTGAAAATTCTAGTTTAGCTTTTTTATGAAGTCTTATTTTTTCAAGTTTTCGGATAAAAATATAATTATTCAACATACCTAAAGTAGTCTGATTCATTAGCGCCTTGTTGTTCCTTTGTATAGCCATGCTCGCTATCAACTGGATGCGAATATTTTGAGCGATGATCTTGATCGTTACTTTAATGAAAGATAACAATGAAACAGGATAGAATATAGTTTTTACCGAATCGGTTATTTTCTAGGTTTTATGTATTTAAAACCACTGAAACGGATTCAGTGTGAAGTAGATTATTGAATCTTTCTTGGTATTTAAGTGTTTAGAAAATGATATTCACAGTAGTAGCCAAAAGTGTCTATTTACACAGCTCTCAGTTACTTTCGGTAGTGGTGTTTTAAAGATATGTGCCATTATACTTGATTGTGCTGTAATTATTTACAGTCCAATTGGTATTGTGACGAATGAAACTAATGACAACTATTTTTCTTTCAGATTTTATAACGCTAAAAACAGAGTTTTGCGAGTCAATCGAGGTCAATTTATGTAGTGCTACGCTCTAATTTTCACTTCCTCTACGTTATTGTATTGCAGTTCATCAACTTATTATAGAAATGTGGTTTATATACTACAATCCCTTGTATGAAGAAAAGTCACTGGCTTTTATTTGGAAGTCTTTAATTCGATGAGGGAAAAATAAACCTAATACAAAATTCTCAAGAAATTTACTAGAATATTTAAAATTCAAACTCATACGAAATGCAAATAGAATATCAAAGATTAGTCTGTTCATGTTGTCGATCTGTAAATAGATAAAGAAATTAATATTGGATCAAATTAATATATACTTATAGGCAGAAAAAACTACAGACTTAGCTCCAATTACATTAAAAACGAATCGAGAAATAGTCATGCAATTCTTTAAAAAAATCTTGCTAGAGTTAGACAATTTTTACAAGTTATGCAGCTCAAAAGAACAACAAGTACTATCTATCATAATATTTGTTGCATTTGAACGATCAGATGACGAATATTCTGCATCTGACTTACATTACTGGCGAGATACATGAATATAAACTTTCCGCCCTTCACTGCAAATTGTAGTCGTTACCGGCGTGCAAATAATGACTTATGTACACTACTGTAAATCATTTTTAACATAAAGAAGAATTACATACCGATAACAATATACTCCGTAGCGACATTTTGGGTTTTCAGAAAGTCCATCAGCGGAGACTTCTAGTACATCATAATCTGAATCATCTGGATGCGCAAATTTTTCGCGATGATCAAGATCTGTCCTATAAAGAGATGAAACAAGAGTTTTTCAATATTCTATCAAAACACAGGTACAAAACCTATTGCATTTCCGGCCGTATCGACATGCACGACGTTTTTCAACTTTTAATAAAAATAAAAACGAAAATCTTGTCTTTTAAATGATATCTTGAACATTGATTCAATTTCATATTTACCTGATGTTCTCCTGGCCGGTAAAACAGGTCTACCAGTATAATGGTCAGGCTGTGTAAGTTTAACTAAAGATAATTAGAGAAACACAAACCATTAGAAAGAAATTCTACGAGTGACAAAGTCTAGAGCAAGAAAAGTCGTCTGCGTATTTAAGTGAAATCAGTGGAAACATGATAGACCTATTCAACTTCAACCGAAATCTATTTTCTATGTATGATATTCGATAAATAATATCTTCTAGATCATGATTATATTAGAAACGATGGAAAACTTAGAGTTCTTTTGTCATGGCTCAAACAAAAGTTGATAACTTTTCTAAAGCAGAATAGAAAAGTTCTTCGAAGAGAAGAAGAATAGTTATTAACTTGCCTAACTCTTGCCGAACATCATCAGGTACTTCCATATAACATACATCATCCACAGGACAAAAACTTTTATGTAGTGATTCAACAATCTTTCCGAACACTGGATGTGCTTTTAATTGTTTAAGAGTTTCTTTAGCACTTGAACGTTCATCTGGATTTTTTCTTAGTAAAAGTTCAATGATCATTCTATAACCACCGGTCACTGGTACAACAATATCTTGTGCAAATCGATCATTACAAAAATGTTTATATTCTTTTTCATCATTCCATGGAAATTCACCACAAAATAAAAGATAAAACATAACACCAGCTGCCCATACATCAGACTTTTTATGGAGATGTCTTGATATACGATTTTTTGAATCATACCGTAAAAATTCTGGTGAAGCAAAAAATACAGTATGAACTTTGTCTGCATCAACTGTCAGTTGCTCACGTAGAGTATACATTTTTTCAGCTGCACCAAAATCAATTAACTTAATACAAAAATATTGTTTAGTTGGAACGAGAACAATATTATTTGGCTTTATATCACCATGAATAATATTTAATCTTTCAAGAAATGCTAATGCACGCAGCACATAAACAATAATAACCATGCCAAAAATTGATATCTCTTCAACTTTTTCATAGAACGTTTTATTTTTCCAAAATGTGTGAAGATCACAAATAGCGTATTCCATTGCAATAAAAATACCTTCATTGGTTATTTTACTACCGCGGTATTGGATAACTGGATGATTATCAATAAGAATTCGCTTTATTACACGTAAAAAATTAATTTCATTTTTTATTTCTTCTTGTATGTCAGGTGTATTTTCCAAAATTTTAATAGCAACTATACGGCCTGTATTCTTAACTTTTGCCTTATAAATTTTACCAAAACCACCTCGACTAACATAATGAATGACTTCATATGTAGTACCTGCAATTTCTATTTCTGATTTTTCGTCACTGATAACTGTTGCATTCGCTTTTGATTGTGCTACTGCTAATAACATTGCAACCATTTGTTCAAAGGTTGCTTGTTGTTGCCGTTTATTTGCTTCTTCTTGAGCAGCAAGCTGTTTTTCCATATTGGTATTTAGTTTCATAATTAGTTTTTGTTCTCGTTCTAATGCATCAATCTTTGCTTTTGAATGGGTGAGCCCCATTGCTCATAGAAAATCAGAGTGTATATAATAATAACAAATGAAATAGACGCGCGCACATATAGACAGAACTTCAAGTGAAATGCACTTAAACAAAAGCACACATCGTCAAAATCTTTTCTTTCTTACATTCATCTTTATCGTAATATAAAAAGTGAATTGTTTTTTATGCAACTTTACTTTCTTTCTTTCTTTCTTTCTTTCTTTTGTTGTTGATAAAAAGAATGACATGTGCTTTTATTTCATTTTTGCTTGGAAGAAACTAGTAAAATTATTTATAGTAGAAACATCATGTTTCTTATTTTCTAGTGCAAACAGTCGATCTTTAACAAAACATAAGCCAATCAATAGCACAGTTTGATTAGTAATACAAAAACAAGTCTATTACGGACCTTGAATCAAAGTGTGTAATATTCACCATGTACTGAGTTACTTCTTTATGCCATGCCATTTTAGTCTGAAGAGGGAAGAGAGTACGACAAGAAGACTGTGAAGTATTATGTATGCGCTGTTCTACCGTGTTTTAACATATATATCCTAAATAAATACTTACTGTCAAGTTTTGGGAAGAAAAAACTGGAAACCAATGAACTGTGGAGGCAGTATTGTGAGCGGAAAAGTCTGCAGATCTTTTAGTTAATTTTATATTCTCTCTTACAAGAAACAATCAAAAATCACTGAAAAAAATTCGGAGACAAGTATTTTATCGCATGTTTCTCACTAGCTTCGTCGAAATTCGCTTGTTTCAGGAGATCGAAACCAATTATCGACGTAAGCATATCATGAAAATGTGAAACACTATTCAAACACATATCCATAATTAATTTAGAAAGACTTACTATTCCTGAAATACTAAGAAACCTTTCAATGAAGTCGAACCCCTTGGAAAAGTGGCTGAATGTGGGTATGAACTTGTATGTGAAGCTTCGATGCTTTTTGATCTTTACCTCTCATCCTAAGATACCTATTGCCATTCCTGATTTATTGCCATCCACACCCAAACACCTCATACTAGATTGTAGAATGCACATATTCCCGAAGAGAAGTATAAAAGCTTGATCAGATGAAAAAGTAGTGATGCAGATTTCAACAATTCTCTTCACTCAAAAGCATTGAAATTTTTTTTATTTTTCTTTAGAAATTCTTCATCCATATCCATGTTGTGTGAGTCGAAGTGAGTCCAACAATAGACTTAGAGAGAATGAATAAAAGAAAAATTTTAATGTATTATATCTTATAAAAGTTTCCCTATCACATATATACTCTTTACGATTCTGGATTTCTTTTCCATAGAGAGTGAAGCGATTGGTGAGTGAGGGTGGTCTTATTACCATAAATCATTATCTTTACTCTAGTCTCATACACACAGTCATCCTCATTAAAGAGAAATCAAGTCGAATTCATTTAGAATCAAGAAAATTCGATTCGAGTTTGTGAAAATTTCATCGAATTGTTTTACTTTTTATCGAACTATAGGAATGTGTATTCGATTCGAAAACTTATCTAAGTTTGACCGTAAAACGTAGGCCATTCTAGGTACTGATAGAAAATCTTTCAATAAGCATGCATATAGGAGAATAATATTCATACACTGACTATTATATATTAATTAAATTAGTATCAATCGAAAAAATAATTTTTTTTTTCTTAGTTTTTACAATAAATATATAAAACTTTACAAGAGTATTATAGTTCCTTTGGGATAAGATTACATGTAATATTTGCTGCACTGTGATATTTAGACCATTCATCGTTACCATGATAAAAAACTGAAGTATTATTAACGATGGCAAATAATTCAGGACCTCGTTTACTAATTTTTTCGTAATATGATGCTGTTGGATCACATTCAGCACCTTGTCGATTGAATTTGTGCTTAAGATTGTACCATGAAGATTCAATACCTTTGGCATGTACAAATTTAAGATCTTTGAGGCTAGTAAAGGTAAATTCACACATTTCTAACATCTTACGAGGCACTAAATTATGAATAAAATTTTCATTTTGTTTTATAAAAGATGATTTTTATAGTTAAGATTCGTTATAATTTCAAGTTCAACTTGAAAATATCTTCTAGAATAAACAAAAACCATACCTGTAGCTATCTGTTCTTCCATAGAAGAATGTTTGAACCAGATAAATTGAAGCATTTCTATTCCTTTTTCCTTTTCTTGTCTGCCTTTAGCATATCCAAATGTATAATGTTCAAATGATTCAGTTATAAAATGCCCATCATTTGAACCAAATATATTGGTTTTTCTTCCATTAGTTGTATAAAATTGTATACCGATTATAGTAAAGTTTTTCTGAGATAAATTTTGATATAAATTTATTTTATTAATCTCTTCATTTGAATTCAACATGAAGTTATTTGAGAGTCGAGATGAGAGAATAGATAGTTCTTTGTTTTCAGTAGTAGAAGTAGTAGTACGTAAATTTGATAGTCGATTGTTGGAATATAAGAATTGAATAGAGAACAAAGCGCTACTAGACCATTTCAATTCAACACCGATACATCGATCAGCATAGAATAATTCATGATCTTTGGCATCGTTAAACGTCTCATTCTGAATAGGACTATTATCACCATATTGTAATCCTTCTTTCATAATATAAAATAGTTCTAGAAATAGTAAATTTAACAAATGATATGATTTTATTTAATTATGTCTTTACTTTTTTGCTCTATAATCCTAGTAGATGTTGCATTATTCAATTTTTGTGGTTCAATAAAGAAATATCGAAATAGAATTAAGCAAATTATAATAGATAAGATAGTAATAACGATTAAAATAATAGAAAATAAACTACGTCTTTTATTCGATATATTTGAAATAATTGAAGACGATTGTTTTCTTTCATGTTCATTGTTATTATATGTTCCTTCGGAAAATGTATTAGTGTTAGATGGTAGCATAGAACTTTCTAATTCAGTTGATGGTTCTTCAGAAATGGAAAATAAGTGTGGAAATTGTCTTGGGACATCATCTGTAATGAATATAAGAATCATTTGTTGAATTTAGTTTTGACTTACTAGAAACACTTCGCATTTTATCTTCTTCAATATCCAATACAGATTCATCAAATAATGATAATTCTAATGATATTGACGCAGCGATCGATGTTTTTATAGAATGTAATTTATATTCTAATGACAAATTTTTAAGATAACATAATCAAATGAAATAGATACTAACCTTTGAGTTGCTCTGAAATATCATTGCAATTAATTTGTTCAAATACATTAATTAAATAATCAAAATTTTGTCCAGTAATTAAATTTCGATCAAAAAGAGAATCAAGAAGATTTAAACTACCAGAAGGTGTACAATTATCTCGATCTTTACGTGGAACTTTATTACCAACAACAAAATGTAATGCTTGACGATCATTATCTGCCAATTGATTAAATAAGTTAATAAGAAGAGCTCGAAATTCCATAGTATTTATTTTTTTATTGATAATCTAAACAAAAGAAATCAAAGAATAGATGCATTAATGTTTACAATGAAGAAAAAAAAATACTTTCATCTTTTTCATCCTGATCTGATGAATTTAGAAACGAGCAAAGAAGAATCGTATCATTTTACATTGACTCATCGATCTATTGAATAGTTCTTCTCTTTTTTTTTCTCTTCCTCTTCTTATATTTTTAATAGGCCATATATTAGACGCAATAAAAACGTGCGTTGGTTTTTTTTCCATAGAAGACAATAGATAAAAAAAAAAAGTATTAAAATATGTGTATTGTACATGATGTTCGAGTAGATAATGCCATTATTTTATTTGATAATCGTTACTTAGGTTTTTTGTCTAAGATGATGTTATTAGATAAAAGAACACATCAGAGAAAATCTTTAATCTTGTAAATTTTTCTACTAATCTAATGTTAAATCAACGTATTATTGAGACAATAAATAATTATTAAACATTGTACAAACTCTGAAGACATTAACCAAATTAGATTATTTTTGCGTTATAATTCAATATAATATTGACCTTTGCTAGCTTCTGCTTCTTTTTCCTGTATCTTTCATTGCTTGAACAACTATTGTTCTTGAACTTCGAAGTTTCTTGTATCCGATGATGAATATCGTTTATTTTATTTCTAAGTATATTTAATAAAAATCAATGTATATATGTATGAGAACTATACAGATAAATTCTTCAGGCATTTATCAATGTAAGTTTTGTACACATAATTATTTTATCGGTTCAGTAAGGTGATCATTCACTATGGACTTGAGCATAATGAAAGATTATTTTTTAGAAATGCTCGTTGTGTTGATTTGTTTTGTGCCATGTGTAATGAAATGTAGTTTTCATTTGCTTGAAAGTTATTGTCAAACTCATCGTCGAACTGGAACTGACCATCAATAACAGCAAGTTACAGACTTTACCATTCAGAAATAGATGATGATTTCATTACCTTTTTATATATTTTTGTAATGTAACGATCGTAGTCATCACAAACAAATTAGGTGAATCAAATGATTATATTGAACATTTAGCAACAAGACCGTTCAATGAGATATCACTTCTTCCGAAAACTTCATCAGATCTATCATAATCCAATGATGTTAGTTCTGAATGAACTACTCTTTCGATTGATGCAATTCTTATGTTAATAGAACACGGTGATGCATGTTGGCCATGAACTTTGATCAATCGAATGATTGATTTCTTGTTATTATGAAAACAGATGTTGTTGATGAACATGCGAGTGCTCTCGATAATGAAGGTGTTCAATCTATATTTATCGATCAAATTCAGTACACTGATATAACTATCGATTAAATAGCAATTCATCAATTATTTCATTTAATGATTGCTGTAACTTATTTTTACACTAAATAATAAGATTTCTTGGAATTTAATACAAAGCATTGTTGAACTCCATTTAATTTTTTTTTTGTCACTTCTTGTTTTCAAGTATCAATATACAATAGAATCAAATGTTTCTTATTTTCTTGATAAAAATCGCCCGATAAAGTATCATTTTTATGAATAATTTCATCGATTTGTACGGCAAGTTTTTATTGATATTCATTGAAATGTTTTGGGCAAAATGATCATTTGCATTTATTACAGATAAATATATTATTTTTCATACATGTTGTATAGAATTTTTTCAAAGAAAACAGATACTATAACCTGTTAACACTTTTACTGAATAACAATACTGCAGCTTTTATCAAAATTAATCAAAATAGATGAAACAACAAAAAAAAATGATAACAATCGACAAAACTGCATTACTAAAAACCGAATGAAAGAGAACGAAGTCTTTATTATTTGCTTCTTCAAGAAATGCAAGATAGTTTATAGCATTAACAGCTTTTTTGAACACGAATGTCTGTTAATGTTAGTGCTTGATGAAGCAGGTCATTTTGATTCTTTTCTGTAACTTTTGATGATGTAGAAAATAATTGAGCTCGAATATAACCACCAGCTATATCTAATGCACATCAAGTATTAGTTGACGTATTCAACAAATTGTTTTTATCAAATGTTTTATCATTCTCAAACCCTGATATGTATCTTGTATAATTAACAAAGATGAATTTAAAAAAAATCTTCAAAACAAATAACCGTAGTTTTTGTTGTAATAACGTTATTAATACTATATGGTTTTTCATTGACATTCATTCTAACAAATATAAATAATCAGAAAATATATATTATTATAAAAATTATTATGTTGATCAAATTATTTTTCCATAAAAACTGACAAATTTAGTTTTTATGCTTGTAGGTATCAATCTCTGTTCTATCTGTACTAATCAATGCATATGTATGCGTGCAATATATACGCCGTACAAATTCGTCTTTTACCTATTCATTAAGTGTAATTTTTTAAATAAGCACCATTAACGTTTGTATTATGTACTGAGAATAAATACTGATATCCAATACATTGTCAACTTGCGATGTTTAATAATAATAGCATGGAATTTATCTTTCAAGATAAAGAAAAGACAGTGATAATAAAATTTCCAGCAGAAATCGACGTTCTTTACTGGAAATGAGAAAAGATCATGGTACGAAATTTTTCACTCCAATAATCAAAACTGTTTTTAGAAATTGAGACAAACAAAAGACGCTTAGACACATAAACCATCGAACAAAAACAATTGAAAATCCTAAAAATAAGAATGAAGAAGAAGAAGGCTTAAAACAATAAAAATTTATTCGACCGATATGTTACAGAATTCAATTTCAATAAATGTGTATCACAAAGAAATTGAAGTTTATAGAAAAGTGTATTTATTAAATTTATGAATACGAACCATAGTAAATTTGACTATTCAAATCATTATATGATATTCTATTTCTGTTTTTAAGCATTATCTTCATCTATATTACAATTTGAAATGATTAAATTTCGTCATCATCTTCCATTAGTTCAACTTCAATTTCCCATTTATAACCGAAATAATGAACACTTAAAATTTTTAATTTAGTACCAACAGCTAAAAGAGCTTCTTTTTCTTCACGAAATGTACTCCATTTCCATATATTAGCTATATTTTTTTTTGCTTTTTCACTTGAATTTTCCGTTTTTAATATTAATATAGCATTTCCAGGATAGATTAATAAACGATCAATTGTAAATGATAAAAATGAATTCGTATAATAATAATTATTTCGCTTTTCAATATAATATTTTATTTCATTGTCACTTAAATTTAAACCTCGATAATAGATAGGTTTTATGTTTGTTTTAATTAAACTACGTATTAATGAACGAAGTTTATTAACATATATCCAATCAATATCATCAAAATTAGCACTAAGTAAATTTAAATTTGTTTTCATATAACATTCATTTGTTTGACTATTTGTATATGATTTTAAAACATTGAACATATCATCAGTTAATTCATGTTCACTAATGTTGTTTGGATAAACTTCTTGAAAAAAAGGCCAATAGAGATTTTTTGTTAAAAGTTTACAATCAAGTAAATTAGTTTCAGGATTATAATAAAAATGTTCTGTATCATAAATTTCTGTTTTAGTTGCTAGCTGTTTTGGTAAATAACGGTTACTACGAACATTTACAATGCAAGACGCCATTTAGTCATTCAAAATGAAATAAAGAATGTAAAAAAAATACATTATATTTCGTGTTCAGGTACTTACACCATACTCAGGTAAGAATTAGAATGATGAGTCATTTTTTGTTACCATACAATGCATGACTCATCAGTAAAAGTATCTAACCAATGTTTTTGAATTGACTAAAATATGTCATATATGAATGACAATCAATTGAGTAATATTGGAAAATAGTATAATATAATCAAGAGTACTCTGTTTACGTGTAATCTATGTAAAGAATCAAAAGAAAAGGAATAATCTAGATGGTAGTATCTCTAGTAACATAGAAAAGGTATTGAAAGTGGCGATGTGCAGTCAGGTGCGTACGACCAAGTGACTATGAGCACTCAATTAGGTATAATCAATTAATTAATAAATATTCAATGATATTATAGTCTTATACCTCTTTCATTATTAATATAAATAAAATATTTCAATTTAGATTTTGAGTGTGGATTCGTGGGCGCAACAGAGAATAATCACATCACACCGTCATCATTTTATATTCCTTTGAATTATTTAAATTGTTTGTGTAGAGATGTTCGAATATGCTACAAAGTCATACATGTATGCATAAAATTTTCTTTTTATATCACGTAGTGTTGGATTTATTTTATACAGTGGATCGTTTTCCGGTTGCTCTGTGTTACCACTACAGTGCAGGCATCATGATATAATTGTGTATCGATGGCATCAGAACTATTCATTGAAAATAGATGTCATTCTGAGTTTGTCAGTAGATCAGTAATCCGCTAGTCTATACTTGTTATTTTTTGTACGAACGGCATCAACATTGTTGTTGTCAAAAATAAATACATTTCTTCGGTTGTTACATCACATCAGGTAAGTATTCTTAACGACTGAGATGGTTTTTCTCCAACTTGATTATAGTACAACTTTGTCTGATCGGTAATGCTTTACCAAGTCTTCGTCAAAAATATATTTTTAAAAAAATGTTCATAGAAGTGTCCCCTTTCAATTTCCGTGAGACTATCAAGGTATAGCCACTGTTGGTATGACTAAACGTCACTTTCTTTGGGCGAAAATTCACTGTAAAAACGAAGGTGTTGGCTACGAAGAATCTTCATCGGAAACATTATCAGAATCACTGATGTAATCAGTTGAATCTGTTTCAACTTCAGATCTTGATTCAGAATTTGATGCAATTTCACCGACTTCCTCACCGAAAAACTCAATGCATTGTTGCTGCAATTTTCACAAAACAAATTTATCAAGTTCCGATTTACTATTGTGTATAATCACTGATAATTCACGATCCTGTGATATTAGACGAGTCACAAGAGACGTCGAATTTACAGCTGAATTACTCATGAAAATGATTAGTGTATAAATGGTTTAGACAAGGAAAAATATGCTAGAATATATTCGAGTAAAATATATATGAAAAGGAAGAGAGTATAGGCGACAAAAGTAGATGTACTGGAGTAACCCGAATATATAGGAAAAAACAGACAGATTCGGTGTGCGTACTTTCCATACACTACACAAAAACGATGAACGAGAACAAAAGATAACCATATGTATGACAAACTGACTATTCCCTATATACGCTCCTTTTTTTAAGCATAACTCTAAAACATATCCATTGTGAAATAATGGTATTGCAAACAAAGCTAACAAACATCCACTACGATTGATTGAGTCAGTTCTCTACACTGATTAAGTTCAAGACATATATGTATGTTGGCGACAGCCGAAAGGTAAAATATAAAGTGCTTTGTGATCTTTTGTTATTCTATAGTTTTTTTATTCTAATGAATAAAAGATTTTCGAAACTGTTTACTAATTGTTGATTTTATATTCATCTAAATACAAGTGTAATACTCAATAAAAAAAACTACCTCAATATTATGGCCAATAGTCGATCTCGAATTAATAATAATATTAATGAGTATTTTTATTATAATATACATTGAAATTTTTTCCTAAACGAGACTCATAATAACAAATTTCTTATTTAGAAATATTATTAGTAGTCATTTATAATATCATTATTTATCTGGTTCATTTAGATTCTAGAAACCAATGCTGACGTTAAATGAACGCATGGTGAGATAGATTTGTTATTGCATTGACAATTTCTGAAAGTCATTGTCTTTAATCAATTCCTTCTTAAAACGAAAATTAAGAACGATGTTCAGACTTCTTCCTTATTTAATCCGTATATTTAGATTTTGATCAGCACGAAAAACTTATATAGTATATGTTTCTTTTTCGGTTTAGCAGACCTGCTCAAACTAAAAATATAATGAAATACTATTTATATTCTATGATAAAATCAGTTTCTTATATAATTTCTAATATAGGAGATAGCGCACAGCATATCTCCCATGACAAGTCTACACCTGGTTTCATTTCACAGTCAACAGTATCAAAATGAAAAGATTTTCATATTTAAATCAATTCTTTTCTACAAGTTAAAGAAAGTATTTCATTTCACTATAGATATATCTTATCGCTGCAGGATACTATGTACGAACACATTATTTAGTAAACATGTTCTCAATTAAACAAGTTACTTGAGAAGATGATAAAAAAAAATTATCATTGTTGACAACAAAATAACAAAACAAATAACTGATTTACATTGCAAACCAAACATATTCATTTTTTTTTTATTTTGTCATGTTCGTCAATAAAGTTTTTTTTCTTTACATATAGGCATTTTATCACTCCACATTCACGTTAACAAACCGAAATGATAGAACGAAACAAAAATTCAAACACATGAAGGTGCACATGTGCGTAAAAATACGCTTGTTACAATAATATTTTTCTCAGGTTCGGTATGTCGTCTATTATGATGAAATTTGATTGTGAAATAGCAAATGAATTCGATAACTTCCTGTTGTCGACTGTTCGTCAAGGAGATATTAACTTATTGGAAAGTCATTTATCAACGGTGGCAAACCCTAATTTATACGTGAATCGATTATACGATGAGATACATTTACAAAAATGCACTCTTCTAATGCTTGCATGTTTAAAAGGACACAAAGATGTGATACGTATGCTACTTCATCGTTACAAACCTGATCTTGAAGTACTAAATAATATTGTCTTCGGAGATGTAAATTCAAGTCAACAAACATTTTTCAATGTTTCGGTGCTATGGGTAGCGACATCGATCAACAATTTTGATATAGTAAAATTACTAGTCGAACATGGCGCTAATGTAAACCATCGAACTAAATCAAATTCAACACCACTGCGCGGTGCTTGTTACAATGGTAATGTGGAAATGGCTCGTTATTTGATTGAACGTGGTGCTGATGCACATCTTGCCAAAGAAAACAATGATACAAATCTAATGGTCAGTGTATGTCATAAGCATTTAAATATGGTTACTTATCTTGTGGATGAGTTGCATTGTGATATAAATGAATGTGATATTAATGGTCGTTCGGCACTTTATGATGCTGTCACTTGTGGATCGGTTGAAATAACTGAGTTTCTACTCAAACATGGAGCTCGCAACTTTCGGGCTGTTGTCGATCAAATGTCTCCATTAATGTGGGCAGCAGAAAGAAGGCGTTCAGATCTTGTAGATGTTATTTCTCCTTACTGTTCACTACTTGAAAGGATAGAAGCTCAAGAACTACTTGCCAGTACTTTTATCTGTGGTAATCGTGATGATCATGCTCTTGATCAATCATTTAAACATTTTTGTCAAGCGTTTGAGCTAAGAACGATTCATAATCTTTTGAAAGCTACGAAATCAACTAACAATGCAATTTTTGATAATCGGCATGAGTGTCAAACAACTGAGCAACTCAAAGAAATACGTTCGAATACAGATCTGTTGTATATTGAAGCTTTGCTAGTACGTGAACGATTGCTCGGTTTGACTAATGGAGAATACCGTTACTCACTATGTTACCGTGGTGCTATGCTAGCTGACAAAGGACAGTATGATAAAGCCGTTGCTTATTGGATATATGAATTGAATTTGTGTCAACAATATTCAATTCCAATTGATTCAAAACATTTGCGCCGTTTTGCATCACTTTTTAGTGGAATGTTATATAAGATAAAATCTATACCCATGGAAGCTTTGTCTAAAATAATAAAAGCAACAATGGAGCAACTCGAACATGACGAGCAAAATTTCAATGACAACCTAACTACCTTACTGTTTCTAATAACAATTGTGGGAGAGGTAAAAATTTGTTTATATATAGATGTTCTTTATATTATTTCAACAGCGTCTTCTCTAGTTTTTAGTAAACAACATTGTTTCTAAAACAGATTGCAAAGTATTCTTTGTTCTTCTTCATTCTATTTGTTCCCGTAATTATACTAAATTAGACTCCGGAATGTCTTTATTACATCTCGCCTTGGATACTCGTACATGGGTTGATGATTATCATATTAAACGTATCTGCAAGTGCGTTATACATGATAGAAAACATTGAATTATATGTTTTATTGCAGATATCCGTGTTTGCAAACAACTCGCATTCTTTTACAAAGCGGTGCTTCTGTAAATACATTCGATGCCATACGAAATACACCGTTACATATAATTGCTTCTAGTAGATCTGCAAATCATGATTCTATACTGAATCTTCTTTGTGATGCTGGTGCTCATTTAGATTTTGCTAATACATTTGGAGAAACACCAATCGATTTAGCTACAATGCCGAATATCCAGCAACAACTGAAAAGTAGAATGAAACTTAGCTTAAAGTGTCTATGTGCACAGTTGATTCGAAAAAGAAACGTATCATTTCGTGACAAAGTTGCTATTGCACTTATTAACTTTGTTGAAAAACATTGATTATTAAAGACTAGAAATAATATTTTCATCATATCAAGTAATATTATGGACTTCTTAGAGAAACATAACCTGAAAAAATCATAAAGATTGATTGAGAAGAACTCGACTTATGGAAATTTTATATATAAGAATATAACGGTTCAATAGTTTTGCAATTCACTCATATATTGTAAATCGTTCGATTCAATAAATACTAAAAAAATTGAGATTTTTATAATTCTTTAATGACTTTTCTAATAATTCAGACATATTTTTATATGATAGAAAAAGGTTTATAGTACAATAAAAAATTAATTTTTATATATGTCCATTATAATTATTCAAAATCACATTGCATCTTCTGAGAAAACAATAAGCATCCATTCAAAATTAAAATTTATGTATGAAAATAATATAATGCTAGTGTTTAGAGGACTTCGAACTTTTGTATTGGATAATTATTTGAATCTTTTACATACAAGATGCGTTAATTGTTGAATGTCAGCGAAAACGGCACATTTAGGATCGTCGCGTTCACAATATTGATGCTTGTATCATTAAAAACAGTTTTATCCTCCGACTAATTAATAGAAAAAAAGTGTTTATGATAATATAACCTATTAGCCACATAAACATGTTCCATTGGAACTAATACTACACTGAGAGAGTTCTTTGTCAATGTTGATGTATTACTAAGTTTTATTTAAGAAAAACAAAACTTTTGAACGTCTGCAGCCAAAGGAAAAGCTTTGTTTGAATTTCAGATGCTATATAAAGAGCTTATTTAAAAGAATACGACATCTAACAATTAGTCGCTTTATGTGATAAAGTATATATATATAAGACAAGGCTTAGGAATTTTTTTCAAAGGTTTAAAATGCGGAAATTCGTTATGACTGTATCATTCTTCAACAATGCTGACGGATTTTAGTCTCAGTTTCCACCAGCTAATGTTAAATGTTGCTTTAAAAATTATGAAATTAAAGTGAAATATGAGTCAAATATTAATAACTTTGGTAAGATCGTCGAATAAAAATGAAAGACATCTCAGAATTGCATTTTGAAACAGTTTCACGTAGTGAAAATTAGAAAAAAAACTACTACTGTGCAAGATTTACTTCTACTGGAGCATTCAAAATTATTCTGCCGATGTGTTTCTTTTTCTCGAATGGTCAGAACTTCGATAGATTTCCTCACGCTGAGTACTCGATACTGGAACAGAACGAACAAAAAATATATATTTCAGATTTTCGACCGATCGTTATGCCCATTGTCAGGTTTTCGAAGTCTTCTTTGGCAATTTACAATAAGAATGCTTTTAATTACACTCAAACAAAGGCACACCTATCAATGCTTTGATTTTAACGAAAGTCTTGAATGATAGCGGCACATTAAATATACTGTCTATTAACAAAGTAAGGAAGTGTGTAAAGAGAACGTTCATTTTCTTGTTAAGATATTTGTTAATGAAAAATAAGTTTCTCACATCACTTGATCACAAAAATGTTGAATTGGCAGATAAAAATGCAAAACGTATCGCTGCAGTGATCAAAATAAATAAAACATTAATATTATTTTTATCCTCGTGAAAATTAAATAAGTGATGAAGAAGTTCGAAATTGCTTCATAGGATGCGAAAACTATAACAAAACTATGGCTCAAATGATTTAATACAATCAATTTCCTAAGGTATTCGACATGTTCAATTGTAATTTGTTTCAACAAGAAAAAGAAACATTTAAACAGGCACTGCAATCAAACAAAACCTTTGAAATATAAGTAAACTATTATTCAGAATAGTAAATACAGAAGTAACGAAGAGTTAAAAACGAAGGAAATCTTCTTTTCACATCAAATTGAACGAATCTATTGTTTTAATTATTGATACAAATATATAAATAGATACTTCTTTTAATGAATAAGTCAAATGTTGTTGCTTCTGCAATAAAAGGTATCTGTCTTCAACAACAACAGTTCTCATGACTACTTTGTATCCTACAAATACCGGATGAAACGTATCAATACGACAATATACCATTTGAAATCAGCTTGAGAACTTTATTTTATCAGCAATTTTCACTGTGATATATTTTTGAGAAAACAAGCAGATCAAGCATAAGAAATAATTATAGTATACTTTCAATCGAATTACATCGAGAATGGTACACATTTTTGTTTTCTGCACTCATATAATACTGATGTCAAAACCGTGTATGGTTTCTCTTTGATAACAACGTCAATGATATTGATATGACACATTTTTGATTACGTGGACAGAGAACATATTAAAATTGACACGTGTGTCAATAATTTTTCTTATAAATATTCTGCATATCTTATGCGTTTATCTAATAATTACTATGACCCAATTAGAAAAAATTAGCATTCGAAAAGCTGTGTTAAGTGATCTGCCGAGGATGTTACAAATAATGGATGAAGCTTTGGAAACTCCAACTATTGATGATGAAATGGAACAACGATTAGAACGTTGGTTAGTCAAATTTAATAATAATTTACAGTTCATATTTTATGTAGCTGAAGTTGATCATGGTTATTTAGTTGGCTGGTGTCGTGGTGGACAAGCAATTGAATCTCATAAAATAGTTGATCATGAAACGTATGATTGTGAAATACATAATATATTTCTTTGTAAACAATATCAACATCGTGGTATTGGTTATGAATTATGGAAAATTGTATGGAATGATATTCTTGTATCGTTTCAGCCAAAGAATTTCATTGTTTGGTCAGTCGATAAACAGCAAACACATCAATTTTATTCATCACTTGGAGGCGTACCGAAAGAAAAGAGAAAATTTGATGAAGAGTGTACTTTAACGGCATTCGTTTGGCATGATCTGAGATTGTACGAGACTACTAATTTTCTTATATTGAAATAAAAACAAATTAGTTCTTTCAATTGATAGAACTAATTCAATTTAAAAACCTATTATACTCTTCATGTTACTAAATTATCCATGACATGTGGTCTGCAACTGCAGTCATCTACTGTTGAATCTTGAGGCATTGTCGCCATCAAAACTAATCTGCAAGTATGAATTCGATTGTCATAATGCTAGCTTAGGCAAATATTAAGCACTGTTTGTGTGATATGTGCTTGTTGATGAAGGTCTAGCAGACACAGGATAAAGTATCAAGAAGACGAGATAGAACTAAGGAAAATAATGATTGATGAAAAGTATAAAATTATTGGCATATTCAATCTCAAGTGCTGATGCTTGTTTTTCTTATTTTTAAGTTATTTCACACAGAATGTTTTATATTATCAATGTATTTGTTTATCTCCATTCATTCTATTCTAGAGAAAGAGGTTATTTTACCAATAGTTCTATAATTCTTAAATATCGTGAGGTGACGCGAAGAATTATTCGCGCAATGATGATAGACTCTATTACTCCGAGTCTACATCTATTATACCTTCAGAATCACACAAATGGAATCTATTTGAAGCTGAAAATGATACTGTAACTACTCCCTTTAAAGTTGCGCGTCGCAGTTTCGAATAATAGTAACAATGAACAGTATTCTAGCTTCACCTATCATAACGAATTGTGTGTTAAAATGAATGGAAAGAAAAACTTAAATGTATAAACGCAGCACCTATTAGCTTTTGAAAATGGTCACAGTGCTGTATTGATCGCTCGGTTTCGAAAATCTCACTGATCGAGCTATGAAGCAAACAAGATATCATTACGGAAGAGTTCTAATAGATCAGTTCTACATGATATACTCTAGTTATGTTTCATTACTTTTCTTTAAAAACAAAAATATGTAACGTTAATATTTTCTCGTCCCAATTGCATCAGAATTTGTCTCAAAAGCGAAAATGCTTGTACTTTTGATGATAATGATCTCTTTTGCTTTACTATAATCCGTCATTTCTGCCTCCCCATATCATATAGCAAAGATACCACGATTAGTATGTATACGTTCAAAAAGAAAAGGAATCTTGAAACGTAAACGACAGATATTCTTGGTATACTGCAGATGCATAGATTATGATAAAAATCTCAAGAATTATGTACTCCTGCAAGTAAAGACCATACTATTTCGGTCTTGTTCGAATTCGATAAAAGATCGAGATCATATGAGACTGATCGACTTCCAAAGTGTTTTTCTATGTTCTTTTATCACGTACTCCATGATAGAAAAAATGCAGACGTTGCTGTTCAGTTCTTGTGAAGTGGTTTGTGCAGCAATCAAAAGCCACTAGAATTTAAACAGAAGAAAGAAGTATCAACGAAAAGCTATATCTAATCATTACTTTTTTTATTCTATTGGGTGATTGTAGCAATATGTGTAATGATCAATGGAAGAGATGGAATAAATTCATAGCAGCAAACAATTACTATTGAAACACGACATAACAGGAATGTTGAATTACAGAGGTGGAAATTTACACTTCTCTTCGAGACCTTAACTCATTTCTAAGCAATGTTCACTCTTTCCCATAGACACCTTAACAATGTTTTATTACCGTCACTACCATCACAGACATAGGCATAAAAACTAAAGTTCGCTCGAGGATCATCACGAAATACGATTCAATTTAAGATAGCTGTTTTTTTTTGTTCGACAATCAAAATATCTGTTTGTAAGCACTTCCATTAGCCGTTTGACTGCTAACATTGTGTTTCATATTTCAATCCAGCAAGGCTTGCAGAAAAAGCTTTTATTTTTGTTATTACTGTTCGTAATTATTATTATTTGAACAATATCAGATCATTTTTAATCACATTTCATCAAGTTTTGTGAAAAAATTTATGAGAAGATCATGGGTGAGATAGGTATTTTATATATGTTCTCAATAACACTTTTATGTCTTGTTTATTCACTAACTATAGCAAAATTCCGAACCGATTCTAAAATTAAAATTATTAATAAGTGCTTGTACTTGCTTTATTCGAATAAAATTTTGTGTTGAATCAGAGCCATAGAAGAAGAGTGCTTTGCACTCTTGTTTAGATTCCTGAGACATGAATAGAGTTAGCCTATCGAGTTGAAACTTTAATTGAAATACTTGAATGCTCGTTCGAACGTTGTTTTATTATTTTGATTGAGTTGTTTAGTTATCTTAAAGAACAAATAATTTGATCTTAATTGACAAGACATGTCATTGATGAATCAAAACAGCTAAAATAAATAGTAAACTGCCATTCTTTCATTCATTTTTAGATTTGTTCAGGCATTTGAATCTGTCTCATGCAGACTTTCGAGAAAAAACATTTCCAGGATAATTGGAATTACAACACCAAGCTGTTATTGCTAAAAATACTTGAAAAGAGAAAACAAGAATTTCTATGTGAGGAAAGGAGCCATGAATGACATACTCAAGCTAATAACAAATTCCACAATAGGAGTGAATAATAACGTTTGCATCTTGAACTTAAATATTCAGTATAAGTTGCAGATATAAAAAAAAGTAGTTCACAAATATTTTATTCAAAAAATTTCTGTATAATCATGGTTACTTCATCATCTCTTAATACACAAATTATTCTTTATGATCCACGACGAATTAGATACTCAATTATTTTAGTTACATTTTTTTTCCTCAACGTGTGTTTCATGTATTAATGAAACCAATGAACGTGACGACTATAATTAAAGTGAATCAATGCAAAAAAAAACAGTCACTTTCAATTAGAAGCTGTCTGATTCCATTTAATATCTTCTACAGAAAAAAAAACATAATTCTGAATCAGATTCTCAGATTTACCTCTCTCTATTTGCTTGAGAGCAACTGTTGCATATGCGCACTTTTCCTATCGTTTGATATTCTTATTAACCATAAAAAATATCTTATATACAGGTACTCCAAAAAGTATCCGGACACCCACATGTTTTTTTTTGTACTTCTTGGTTCGCGAAGCAGAAACAAGAGATAAAATGTTTCTTTCTTCATTGAAATATTATGTCAACAGATAGTGCTTGCTTTGCTCGTTCTAGCGGTGTGCAAATAATATAATTCTGATGTGAGAAAAGAGAGCACCTAACATATTGGAAAATCGGACATTTTCATGGAAAACGTTCTCGTAATTCGAGATGGTAGTTAAAATTGCTGATTTTTACAGAGAAGCTAGTTCGAAGTAAGAACCATCCACTGGTGAAATAAGAAAAATTTTATCTCTTGTTTCTGTTTCGCAAACCAAGAAATATGGAAAAACATGGGGGTGTCCGGATACTTTTTGGAGTACCTGTATAATAAATATTTTAAATTCATCATATAGGACTTTCATTTTTTTTTAGTTTATCAGTAAACATGGTATGGAACAATATTGGAGATAGTATTGATGTTACACAAGTATCAAAATCGATTGTTGACGATCTTAATCTTGTTTCAGAAAGATTTATCATCTATCTTCCACTTATCTTTCTTATCTTTGGCTTTATTGGATTCATTGGAAATATTTTTACTTATCTTCAAGCTGAACTTCGTTCCAATACTTGTTGTATTTATTCACTTTGTGGTTCAATCATTGATATTATGAATCTTTCTCTCAATTCATTTCCAATGTATCTCGCTGCCAAATATAAAATTTATATACCATGGTATACATCACGTATAACATGTAAACTTGATGTTTTTCTTCTTGTATTTCTTCCTCATTTATCAATTCATTTTTCGGTTATGGCTATTATTGATCGATTTGCTTGTACTTGTAAACTTACATCACCAGTACGTCGACTCAATCAACTGAAAATGGTACCATGGATAATCACAATTATAATTATTTCAAGTTGTCTTGCTTCGATTTATTCACCAATTCTCTATTATCTTGTGAATAAATACTCGTGTATATCTACAGAACCACAATTGAATAGTATATTGTATATTACACTCAGTGGTGTCATGCAACCAGTAATAATGTTAATATTTGTTTTACTTACTTATCAAAATGTACATCAATGTCATCGACGAGTAGTATGTATATTAATTCTCTTGTTTCTTTTGTGATATAGAAAATTGTAATGTATATTGTATGGTAGAGTAACAGTAACACAACGAAAAAGTCTACAAAATCAGTTCATTGTAATGGTATTTGCTCAAGTTTTTGTGACAGCTTTTTTATCAATACAATGGATTACTGTGTATACATATTTTTCATTTACTGCAGACTATAAGAGAAGTTATAAACAATGGTCAATTCTTTTTTTTTGTCTTCTCTCTAACGAACAATTGTTGTTATATAAATAATGTTAAATCATTTTATCTTTCACTATTAACATCTCATTTATTTCGTAAAACACTTATAAAAGGTTTAATTGAAATATTACCTCGACATTTACGTTCACAATATCAAGTATCACAAATTCAACCTTCGATGGCTACTATTACTAGAATAAGACCACGTGATATATCCAAACGTTGAACCATCTAAAATATGATTAAAACAATTTGAAAAACTCTTTTTTGTCGTTAAATGTTGTTCGTTTGTTTTTGCTAATATCTAAATAAAATAATCATGATTTATCTGTTGGAATATTGTACTTAATGTTGTTGTTCGTGCTTTTAAATAAATATTTATTTCTGTTTATCAATAATCACTATACAGTTGTCGCAAAATGTATTTCATTAAAATTTCAAGTGAAATAGTCATACACTTCTACAATGCGATCTATTAATAAACGAAAAGGGGAGATTTATAATGAAATGAATCCTTTTTAATGAAGCATTTTGTTAATATACATTATTCAAAATCTGCCTATGTTAAATTATATTCTTTAGTTCTGTAATCTAAAAATTGCAATCATTGGTAATAAGCTATCCTAGAAAGCATTAAAAAAGGACTTTTGTCGTTGTATCAAAACTCGCGGTCTATTGTACCTACTCTTCAATTAAAGATTATATGTGAGGATGAAAAAAGAAACATGTTAATAGAAACTGAGTAATTATAATGATTTGTCATAGTACTTAAATGGAAATATCGAAAGCTTCTTTCTTTGGACTTAAAGACTCGATATAAAACGGTAATTATAAAAGTCGAACGATGCTTTAACATAGAAACAGAAGGTCTAACTATTTTGCTTTTAAACAGCGTTATGCGAAATTTTTTGTCCACGAAAGATAGTTTATTTCATAAATAATTTACTAAACTGTCTACTAAAATACTAACTGATTCGAAAGTGACACAGCATTGAAGAAGTTACATTCATATCATGTTAATTGAATTTTGCAAGCATATTCGATAATTATGGTTTTCTGCATCAAGGTTGTGATGAAAGTTCTAGAGAATAGTCGGCAAGATCTCTCCCAATGTAATCAAATCAGAATTCGGTTCATTTTTGTTCACGTATAAATATTCCAAGTGCAAAAACACTGTATCTTCAGCTATCTAGAATTGTCTCCAGATCGCCATGATTGGAGGAGGGTTGATGACTTAATAGGTTAATTGAAACATTTTTCCTAAAGCTGACCGGGTTTTTCCGGAATTGATAAGAAAAAAACAGTAGGATGCTCGAACTCGGTTGATCCTTGTGTCCAGTTAGATATTCCCTGCAATTATATAAAACTAAACTAATGTTATTTTTATGGTAAAACATATTGATAAAATAGTATCTTATTGCATTTATGAATAGGATATTCTTGCGGTTGAAAAAGGCAAACAAAGTCCGTCCTATAAGACACAGAAGGTTTTTCTTAAAGCAGGATTTTTCACTATGATATACGAAAGAAAACAAAATTCATTACTTTTTTTTTTATTGTCATCATTTATCATGATAGCAAACAGAAAATGGCAATAAGAACGTTATAATGCATGAGATTAGCGTTTTTTTCGTCTTACAATATGGAAAAACAGATTTTTTCAGTTCGCACTTTAGCCATTTACTTTGCGGCGATGCATAAATGCGTTCGAATATATTTATCAAAATAAAGGCGTCAGTAATATATCTTTTAACCGTTTAGAAAAGCCTCTTATCGTTTGTTAGGTAGTATCATACGAGTATGTTTCCTCTTTCTTTTCTTTCTGCTTGATATTTTTACCCATGTACATTCTAGTGTGTTCCAGTACAATCATTTTCGGGTGAGTATAGGTGTGAGATCTGAGGGTAGACAATGCTTTGCCGGATTATCTTGTTGCCACCTATAGAACTACAAATTCCAATGATTTCTTGTCTCATATACATATATAGATTATTGGATTTTCTCTATGCTTGCTTATGTAACTGATAAGCTAATATATGGATCATATCCATAATTAATAGATTTCCTTGTTCATTCATTCTGGCATCAAAAATTCATCGTCTCTATAAATTGAACACACTACCAGAAATAAATAATTTTTCAATTATGACTAATTTTCTTGCTTTAATTAAGAAGTCTATTATAATCTGTCTTAAACTGAATCTAATATGTACATTTTTCGAGGCAATAGGTTTTTGTTTAGGGAACTTATTTAATGAATGGATTGCTACTACCAGTAGTGACACTGATATTTATTTTTCTTACTGATTGTAATGTTCTTTTGATTCATTGATAAGTAGCAAATGTGTTGATTTTGTATTACTTTCGATAACAACTTCATTGAAATGATTCCGGATGTTACTATATAAAAGTTGAGATTTATTGCTCGATAGAGAGCACACCACCGATCATTCATCTCGATGGGATGATATGACAATGATTATTTATCATGAATGTAATTATAAGTAGAAAAACGAACAATTTTTTTAGGTTTCCAAATTAATTCATTCAGGTCAACCATATTGATCAGCCTCCTTGCTTTAACATTCTTATCAGCAAAGTTTTTTCCAACAAAAAGCGTCAAGAAAAAAAGTTTGCTTTCTATCAGTCATTATCTTTTTATATTCTTCACTTCTGCCACGCAATTCTATTTACCTTTCGAGATTTGTCGCCAGTATACTTCTTTGTGTTATCTAGAACAATAACTGATTGTAAGAATTTACGAATTGGTAAAGAATTTCTCAGTTGCCAGAATTAGCCTGTCGTATTGCGAAAGGCAACCAATGATCGGTGCTATTGTATTCAGTGTTATTTGCCTGAGAACTCGGACTCGTATTTTGTTGGTGGCTACACTTATGTGATTTCACGTGACTAGACTCGCTTTGGTGTATATATTGTTGAGCCATTTGCTGCACATCACAAGATATGAAAAACATGGGCTAATTGCAATCATGGAATGAGTATTGAAAATGCAAAATCAATGATTGAGCATCGAAATTACTTCTGCCTCCTGATACAACACTGGATGGTAAAAACTGCAAATACGAAAAGGTCAAATTTCGGAAGAGTACTACTTCTTCACTATGCCAACAATAAAACATGCTGTCCTTGATTGTTAGGTACATATATACACCTTCATATTTCCAACGAACAGCAAACGATACAAGATCAAAGTCGCGCTTCATTGCAAGGAAAAACCTGATTAATTGATAGTTCAAGCTGAAACGGTGGGAGCACGCGAGTGGCAACAAATAATACGCCCTCATGTATCAAACGATCGAATGAAGTGGAAGACACAACAGCGCTCTGCTATTATGCCATATGGGCTGATGCTTCACATTAAGAAGGATGATAGCCATGAGTATGATGAAAACACAAGTTCTCAGGAGATCAATTGTCCCAACTGTTTACGACCGAACGTGTGGAAAACTGGAGGCTACATAGAAGGCAAATTTATTACTTGGGTGTATGAAAACTGCAAGAAAAAGTTTCAACAACTCAACTGTCCTCATTGCTCTGGTTCTATTGTATGAAAAGACGCTAACTATAAAGAAAGAATAGTTACTACTTGTTCGTATGAGAATTGTAAGAAAAATTTCAGCAGTTCAATTGTCCTCATTGTTCTGGTCCTGTTGTGTGGAAAGACGCTAATTATAAAGAAGGCCAAGTTACTACTTTGTTCATATGAAAGTTGCAGGAAAACGTTTCAACAGTGCATCTGTCCCAAGGAGAGAGGAGCGAAAATACCGTACTTCCTGTACTTCCAGACTATGTCCTAACTGTGCATCAAATTTCTTTAGCTATTTCAAGTCTACTATTTTCGTGTAGTACGATATATTAACCGGAGTCCAGTCTACGTAAGTCTATCTAACAAAAACGCCCAAATACTTCATAATACTTCCAATTTGGAGGTATCATGCAGTATCTGGGCTTTAGGATGGAGTTGCCTTTAGTAAGCTGGACTCCGATTAATACACCGTAGCACAGGTCAATAGTAGACTTGAAATAGCTACAGAGATTTGATGCACAGTTACGACATAGTCTGGAAGTATAGGAAGTAGGGCATTTTCGCTCCTTCCCCCTTGATCTGTCGTCATTGTTTCTGTTCTATTGTGTGGAAAGATGCAGACTACAAACATGGAGTTATTACCACATGTCCTTATAATAATTGCCAGAAAACATTCTGTAAAGATTAGTTAAAAAAAACTCGATGAGCTCAAGCGAAGATCATTGTATCTTATGTGATTTAAAATAAAACTAATAGACATAAGCCCTGAAATTGCTGTGGATGAAGTAGCGGGAATCTATGATATTACACTTGAAACATAGAGTGTTATTGAAGGAAGTTTCGGAGGAAATAACTATAAGCATTGTCATCGTAACTTTCTCATGTGATTATTTGCACTAAATAAGTACAGTTTCCCAGCCAGTAATCTGAAGAAATGTCTAGGTTAGTTATTTGCACGACATAGCTTTTACAAGAACTTAATGCTTTCATGAAAAGGCTTTTAGTGAAACAATTCTATGTTTTTTGTTGACGTTAAAAGACACACTACTTTTTTTTTTTATAATTGTGTACTTTTCGTATTTGTTTTTAATGTAATAAAATCCTGAAAAACCTTCCAGCCAAAAAAACTGTATCCGCAATAAATTACTGCGATTGCAATGCATTGGAAATTAAAAAAACGTCTGTGACAATCAGTACGGCGTTGAACAGATTACGTTTTGAGCTGCCTTCTTTTCTTCCATGCCATTTAAAATAGCACAAATGATTTCTTTCACCATCTTTGGGTAATATCTAAACAATAGAAGATCATAAAATGATTTTTGAAATTAAGTTCAATTTTAAATACTTAATTTCAAGATGAAACGTAACGAAAAGTTAGAAAAATTGAATATCAAGTACATTTCAAGTGTTCATTTGTCAAAAATGAACGATTGATTTAACAATTTTTTCTCCATTATCGAGTAAGATGACTGCCCTAGGCGAACTTTCTTTTTCATGCACTTGACCTGCGCAGACCTCAAGTTTTGTCCATAGCGCATGACTTTCTTGATCAAGATTCTCAAGTATCTCCTGCGCAGACCAAAATAAGTTCGTCTGGGGTGATAAAATAAAATGAATCGCTTATTTAAAAAAGAAGTACCGATCGGAAAAATAAAACAAACATTCATATACAAGTATGT